ACAGTGTGGCCAACAGAGGGTTGAATGATACAGTGTGACCAGCAGAGGGTTGAATGATACAGTGTGACCAACAGAGGGTTGAATGATACAGTGTGACCAGCAGAGGGTTGAATGATACAGTGTGACCAGCAGAGGGTTGAATGATACAGTGTGACCAACAGAGGGTTGAATGATACAGTGTGACCAACAGAGGGTTGAATGATACAGTGTGACCAGCAGAGGGTTGAATGATACAGTGTGACCAACAGAGGGATGAATATTGAGAGACCTAGTTTAATTTTATTAACCATGAATAACACTGTTAACAGGCCATTATGTAATCAATTTGATGTTTATATTAATTAGCCTATTAAATACCAATACAAATATAACAAGATTATAGCTCAATTCTATGTTTACATTGGAAATATAAATATTTTAGATACCTACGATAACTTATAAGTTACCGGTACCGTATCGAACCAAATGAAAACCAATATAATTGATATTTAATCTGATAATATAATACCGTACCAGGTTCTCTGCAGAACTGTACCCAAGGCAAAAATCAAATGTTACAAAATACCCAACAGTTATTTAACACCTAGATTGAACACTGGTCTTATTAAAGCATGTGGGGAAACAGGTGAGGGTTTATGCGGATTCGTGCTGCATTAAGGGTTTTGAAGTTAGGTTAGATAAGGAATATAAAGTGTAGGTTATAGTTTATAAGGTTGTTTGTTTATGTTACAACCGTAGGCCTAAGTTTTTTTTTCATGTCTATTGGAATTGTTGGTTAAAATTTTTAATTAGGCTATTTCTGAATTACCTTTGAATAGGAGAACTGAAGCCAAAAGGCCTAGTCCGATACCACCAGCTGTAACATAATCCAAATTAAATTAAACTTAACCTAGGCTACTTCATAATAACTTATATTACTTAAATAGGCCTAGGCCTACAGTACTTAAACTACCCCTTTGAATGAAACACAATCTTCTCTTCTTAAAACCTACTAGGCTTGAATTAATCAGATCCAGATGATAGTTGCAAACAGTAGGAGCAACTCACTGTATTACTGTACATAGATTTCCCATTTTGCTTTTAATGTTATTTTATGAAATAATAATTAACACATTCGCTGCTACGGACGTTCCGGAACGTCAGCCGGGCCACGGCACCAGGAGCTATGAACGTTCCAAAATCACCGATCATTGTTGTTTAACATTTCCATGGATCAGCCAGCTCGTCACGAGCGTCCTATGCATTTCTTTGCAGCTCGTGGGGATATACTTTACTGACAAAAAAAATATGGTTTCCCAAAATCACTTCCAGGATCGTTTAGAACAGGGCTTTATCCCACCTCTATCCTACTAGATAGCAACACTACATTACCTTTCAACTGCAACCTGGGTACTTAGTGCTGCTATCTATCAGAAAAACTTAGTACTATGTCCAAAACCAGTTTTATTGCAGAACATTGCCATCCAGTAAACCTACTGTTGTTTTTACTGTAATTCAGTGTAGCCTACCAGCGGTACGTAATGTTAGGCAGTGGCGAGCGCTAGTTTAGCTCCTGGCGCCGCCCCGGCATCTAGCGGTCAGCTGCGAACGTGTTAATTGTATGTTGGGTTGTAAAAAGTTTTGGGAGGCTTAACCTTAGGTGAAATTTATGTTAGGCTAGGGTACTAGCCTGTAAATAGGCCTCATTATCAACACAACCAAAATAGGCTAGGTAACTTACATGAAAGCACTGTTGAAATCGTTATTTTTGTTGTGTTTTTAAAACCTACTAATTCAATTGTACAGAATTGTAACAATTTCAGTAGTGCAAAAAATTAACATTAAATATAGACGTAACTTAAACTTACTAGTCTTGAGAATTCCATCAGTAACACATCTATCCCACTTCTTGCCAAGTTCATCTTCAGAATGAATACGTCCAGACATTTTGACCGGTTTTCAAAGGTTTTTTAGTTTAAATAAATGCAATTTTAAACGAATAATTGAAACTCTCTGGGTAAGATTTGTGGGCAAGAACTAAAAATCTAAATCTGAATTTTCAATAATTTCATCAAGGCGAAAGGAAAAGAAGGTTCCTAAAACATCGTCTGTCAACTTTTTTTATACATCTTCAGTAACCGTTAGCAGACATGATTTAATGCTATGGAGCTTAAATGTTCACTTCTAAATTAACAATTAATTTTGGAATTAATTAATGCGTTATATCATAGACTAACCAACACAAACAGGATGTCTGACACCAAACAACCCTACTTGCGACGTTGCCAATTCTACCAGGCTGCGGCCTGTAGTTAAAGGTGGCCGTGCTAGTACTTCAGTATCCCAGGTCTCAGATTTTAATCTATGGTCGGTCAACCTTGCTTCTTCTTCTATGGTTTGATGTTAGACTCAGACAGAGCTTAGAGAAAAATACATAAAAAAAAACAAAAAAAGACAAACAACTGAACTGACAAGAAGAAGAAGTGACAACTGAACTAACTACTGGAGTGGAGGTTAGGTTATGTTAGTATTTCAGAGCTGATATACTAACACAATTTAGAGTGTTTACTCCCCATTTTAACTTTTTTGTATTGGTAATTTAATTTAATGACCACTGTTTGGTTCACATTTTTATATCATCAACTTCTGTTGCTAACACAAAGTCTATAGGTAGGTTGAAGCTAAGTCAGAGATATGCTAGGCCTAGTCCAAGATATTCTAAAAGAATAAGATAGGCCTAATAAGAATATTTAAGTTATTGCCATTGTAATTACAGATTAAGTTTGTAAGTAATTACAAAAGAGGCATTGTATTGTCACATTAAAATAAATCTAATAAATATCGCATTAAAGCACTGACAATAGAGATGTGATATTAAAAGATCATAATGTTAATAGGCCTAGGCTAAGTATAATCGAGAAAGTATTGTTTTTGTCAAAACTTTATAGTTTGAGTTTTTCATGCATATAGGCCTATCCGTTTTGATTCCCCCTGGGCTGCACTTTACTTTAGGTCCTACACTCATTCGAATGAAAATATCGATCAATAACTTATATCGAATAATCAATTGTTTCATTCGATATATCGTTTGAACCAAACGATATTTCGAATGAAACAATCAAATTATCGATATTTTCATTCGAATGAGTGTAGGACCTTAAGTAAAGTGCAGCCATAATTAGGGTAGGAAATCACACCTGTGGTTCGATTTTGATGAAATTTATCCTAGTACCGGTATGCAGGTTTATGGCATCCATGGTATATCTCTAGGATGTTTCGTTCATTGAAATTTTGATTTTAATGACTTTTGGATTTAGTTCCATAGAGAACCTGCAATATATTAAGTTATCAGTTAATATATAGGCTATACATGTATAGCAATTATAGCTTAGGCCTAGTTTGATATATTGCTTCTAAAACTTTTTTCCAATGTAAACATTGAATCAAATTGTGACCTGTTAAGTTTTTATTTATAGGGTAGATGGGGGAATTGAGACCCGGGGGTAATTGAGAGCTATTTTTTTAAATTTTGTATTATTTATTTTTTAAACAAATTTGTAAATACGTTAAAGTTTAGGTATACTAAAGGGGTTTCATCGTAAATTATTGGATAATTGTAATCTTGTGTTTGATGTATAAAAAAAATTAAGCCGTGTTTTTTTCCGAATGTTAAACATGTGGCAAAACTTTAGCGTGGTAGTATTTTGAGTTATTTTTTATATATTATATGAATTAATAATCATACCAAAATGTATTTTTTGACACGTTAAAGGTTTAAGCAATAGTTTGTTGGGGCTTTAAAATTTTTTAATAAAATTAAAAGTTAATTTTATAAATTTTTTTAAAAAATGGGTCCCAATTACCCCGGTGTGGGGAAATGGGACCCATATTTTTTTATCCCACATATAATTAATATTAACATTATAATTAATCCCACATATATAATTAACCAATAATTATATGTGGCTGCAGTGGTGATTATCATGTATTATGTGTAAAAACAGAATTTTGAAGTAGGTCCCAATTACCCCAGCATGGAGTAATTGGGAACCAGTCTCATCGGGTGGCTACATCGGGTTGGAATCACAGATGTACAAAAAAGTAAAAAAAATATTTTACAACCACTTGAATAAGAAACTAGGGCCTTAAAGAGTAAGCTAAGCCCATAATTGGCCTATTTTAACTTATATTTGGACTGATAACTATCATTTATTAGAAATTCTTTTGGCTGAAAAAGCGAAATTCCGGAAAGTTTGCATATGACCAGAAAAAAAGTTCGACATAAAATATACTTGTAGTTTTTTTTTTTTATTTAACTATACATGTCTTTAACAGTTTAAATCTAAATTTTCTGGCTGTTATCTGCTCTGGTTAATTTTTCCTATTTTATTAAGAAAAAAGTGTAATGTTTTGGAAAAAATAGTTTGAACTGTTGTAATGTCTTAAAAAAATTTTTTTTTTTCAATAAAAGTATGTTGCAATTTGTTTATTATGTTTTCATTTTTAGAACCCTATTACCCCCACAAATTAATATTAGGTGCTTATGGGTTTATAAGCATAGGTCCCAATTACCCCATGTGGGGTAATTGGGTTCCAAATTATTATTATTATTTTTTTCATAGTAACATTTATTTAAAAAAATGAAAAACATGTGATAAGAAGACAAATTACAGTTGGAAACCTTGTGCATGCTCATATTTTGATTTTTTCTTACAATAAACATATAATTGAAAAAAATAAAAACATGGGTCCCAATTCCCCCACTCTACCCTATTTAATAAATTTAAACATCGATTTGAGTAGAGCCTATAGTAAGTTAATGGTTAAAATGACTCTTATTAATTACAAAATAATTAATAAATGCACGCATATTAACTCAACACAAAATCTATTTCATGAATGTTTACAAAACAAAAACAATAGAAAAACATATGATAGTAAAAATATGTATAAATGAATTATAAACAGTCTTAGAGAAGACATAACAGTCTCCCCCACTATTTTGAACTTGCAGTGTATTATTATGAAAGCACAAAGTCCTTGTATCGGCCCGGCATTTGCCTTTGTCGCCTTGATCTTTCTTGATTCTCAGGAATATGGCTATTGTTCGTTTCTGTTCCCTGAACTACTGGAACCTCTGCATTGTTTGCTTTGGGAGTTGGTGGTCTTTCGGAAATTGACGGTCCTTCGGAAGTTGATGGTCTTACGGAAGTTGATGGTCTTTCAGGAGTTGATGGTCTTAAGGGAGTTGATGGTCTTTCAGGAATTGACAGTCTTTCAGGATTAGAACAAGTAACAGCCTTAGAATTTTCTTTTGTGCTGTGTTTAGAAGCCCGTGGAACATCAAATATGTGGATTGGTCCCGTGGTAACAATTTTTGGTTTTGGTATCAAAGTAGACCGCAATTGATCAATGTGTCGTTTAACAAGTCGGCCTGACTTGTCAAGGGAAACTAGATAGTGTCGAGTTCCCAACTTTTTGTTTACTTCTCCAAACTCCCAAACGTTCTTGTTGTTTATGAAGAGACGAACCTGAACTCTCTCCCCCTCGTTGAATGAACGTGCAGATGGAGCATTTCTAGTTGAAGCTTTTTGTACGTTGGGAAAAATGGCATCCATTCGTATTCTTAACTTCCTGTGGAGGTAAAGTTCAGCCGGTGATTTGCCACATGCTAGAGGAGTTGCCCGGTACCGCATTAAGATCTTCTGGACCTTTATTGCCATTGGTATGTTTTCCGAAGCTGTGGACTTCAGGCGGTTCTTCAATGTTTGAACAGAGCGTTCTGCTAAGCCGTTTGTTGCTGGATGTCCTGGAGATATGAATTTCTGGAAAATGCCGTGCAATTTGCAATAAGCTTGGAATGTATCACTTTGAAAAATTGAGGCGTTGTCAGATACCATAACATTCGGGTAGCCGTGTGTTGCAAAAATCTGTTCAAGCAGATTTATGGTATTGGAGCTGGATGGTGCATCTTTGATTACTTTTATCTCCGCCCATTTTGATCTAGCATCAATACACACGAGGAAGTTGAAGCCTTGAAACGGTCCTGCGTAGTCAATGTGTATTCTTTCCCAGTTCTCTTTTGGGATTTCCCACGGGTGATTGGGAGCTTTGGGCGGATTTGACCGTGTTAGTGCACAATTTTCACATCCTTTCACAAGATGCTCAATGTCCTTGTCAATATTTGGCCAGTAAACATAGCGCCGTGCTTGCTGTTTCATTTTTGTGATTCCAAGATGACTTTCGTGAAGTTCATTTAGAATCTTGTTTCTAAGTAGTGATGGAATGTAAACTCTTTCTCCCCGGAAAATAATGTTTTCGACCAACGTAAAATCAGAATCAGTTGAATTGGTGAGTAGGTCTTTCAAAATCTTAGAGAGCACTGGATCTTTGGCTGTCTCGTTCTTAATGATTTCAGCTGTGATTTCATGGCTTGAAATTTGAAAAATAACTTGGCTGCAGATTTGGTGTACCTCTTTTCCGATTTTCTTGTCTTAAGTAGAGTGAGTCTGTGTAAGAGGAGCTCTTGAAAGACAATCCACGTTTTTATTTTCCATGCCCTTTTTGAACACCAACTTGTAATTGAAACCTGACAGATATGATGCATATCTGAGTAAACGAGCTGAAGTCATTTGTGGTAGAGCCTTGTCATGTCTGAAGATCCTAGATATTGGCTGATTATCTGTTACAAGTTGAAATTGAGTCCCGAATAGGTAATAATAGAAGTGGGAGACACCAAAAACTATGGCTAATGCTTCCCGGTCTAGTTGACTATAGTTACATTCGGCATCAGTGAGTGAACGTGAGGCGTAAGCAATTGGCCTCTCAGTACCATCTATTAAGTGGCTAAGAACTGCAGCTAGTCCAGTAGGTGAAGCGTCTGTGGTGAGGACCAACGGTAGTTTTGGATCGAAAGGTACGAGTATCCTGTTACTGCAGAGCTCAGTTTTGATTCGTTGAAAAGCCTTTTCACATTCTGGTGTCCATTCCCATTTTACCATTCCATACCCTTGTATGATACAGAAACTGATACCTTTCCCTCTGGTTTGATTATGTCTCCAGAGTAAGAACGGAAAGCTAGCCTTGATGGTTCTACAGGTACGTTCAGATGTAGACGTTCAAAGTCATTCTTCGCAAGGAGAGAAAATTTAGCCCCACTGTCAACTTCAAAACATTGCAATTTTCCATTTATAGTGACAGAAACAATGTACTTGTCTGAATCATATCCAACTTCAAATAAATCTACGACATCAAAGTTCTGGTAGATCGAATCAATTTTGTGCACTCCGTAATCAGAAGAGTCGTCACTAGAATAATCGTCATCATTTGATCCTGAATGTAGGTTGTTGGTTGAATTTAACTTTGATGTTGATTTCTTAGTCCTTGACATCAGTGTAGTTATGCAGACCGCAGAGACATGTCCTCGTTTTAAACACTCCCCACATTGGAGTTTATACTTGTGTCTGTTACAATTTGCAGCAATGTGTTTGTTACTTCCACATCTAAGACAGAGGCCTTCTATTCCGAGGGCATTGAAGTCAGGTCTTTTGTTATTTGAACGTTGTTTCCAGTTGAGAGATGTCTTGTTGGATGAGCAATTGTTAGAGAACTGGTGGGATCGTCTGGAAGACCTTGTAATTTTGTGCTCTCCAGCCGAATCCATATTAAAGTTGTTAGAACATGCATGTTGGTGAAATTCTTTGCTTTCAACCTTTGATGCTTCAAGAGCAATAGCTTTCTCTAGAATGTCATCAAACTTTGTGTAAACGGATTGTAAAAGGTGTTCCCTAAGCCAATTGTCCTTCAATCCTCTTATGAACTGTGCCCGCAAGAAAACATCAGCAATTGACACAGATGTTCCACATTCATCGTTGGAGCATTCTACTGCAAATTCACATTCTTGAAGATCACGTCTGAGGTCGGCCACAAACTCTGAAATTGACTGGTTTTCTTTTTGAAAGATATTTAAGAAATAATGTTGAGCAACAACAACACTTTTCGTTGGAGTCAATAGTTTCTTGAAGTCATTCAACAGAGTTTCATAATCTAATGATTTGAGTGGCCCAAAAATGCAGATAGGTTGTTATAATGTTCACTACCTATAGAATTACACAAGAGCTGAGCAATTTTCTTCTTATCAGTCAAACCTTTCATTGTATAATAGTTTTCGAAACGTTCTAAATAGCTGGTAAACTTTTCTTGTTTGGCATTGAAGTTTTCGAATGTAGCAACATTTGACATTGTAGATTGACAGCTTTCTTCTCTGGGTTTTCCAATTGATGTAACAATTGTTTGAATTTGAGCTTGAAACATGTTTGACATCTCACGTACAAGTGCTTTTTGTTGTTCATTGAATGTGTTTAGAAGTAAGGTAAACTGTTGTGCATCCATTATAGTTTGAACTGTATAAAATATTAATGTATCTTGAAACTAGAAATTGAATGTAATTTTTAAAAGTAAATGTGTTGAATTTTTCAGTGGCTAGTTGATTTTCACACTCGTCGCCAATTAAAATGACTCTTATTAATTACAAAATAATTAATAAATGCACGCATATTAACTCAACACAAAATCTATTTCATGAATGTTTACAAAACAAAAACAATAGAAAAACATATGATAGTAAAAATATGTATAAATGAATTATAAACAGTCTTAGAGAAGACATAACAGTGGTCTGTTAGTTTTTATTTACATTTAAGTAATAAATGAAGCCATGAAACTAACTTATAAATAACTTACCGGTATTCAATTAAAAACAAAATATATTTTATTAACGTTAACAAAACAATCAATTACAAAATTTTTGTAATATGGTTACAGCATAGCGTTCAAAAACTTATCTAGTTTTTTCCACTTTTTGTCATAAAAATTTAAAATAAAGGGTACACTTCTGTATCTGTTGTCAAAAACAACCGAATTAATTGTGTTTGACAACAGATGCGGAAGTCTACCCAGGATAAAACCAAGCATAAACATATTTAGATATTAGTATTTTTGTTATTGTCTTTATTTATATCATACAGCAAAATTAAATTTGATGTGTATTAATATCGAACAGAAATATAATCGATATAGGTATATTGAAATATAATCTGATAATATATAGCAGGTTCTCTGCACAACTGTACCAGATTTTCTCAGAAAACCCCATTAAGTATCAGAAAATTGGATTTTCTAAGAACAAGTTTTAATGATTTAAATTAAAATCGTTGTAAGCAATTTCAACTTTTGTGGTTTCCCCCATACAAAATCATAGTAAGCCCTAATCCCACCTTTTAACCTTGATTAGGGTTGTTGACAAGCTAATGGGAGAAAGTATAGCCTATGTCATATTGCTGATACCATTCATCGTAAATTATGAAATGTGTCTGTTTTTTGTATTTTTTAAACTCAACTGCTACAGTTGTTGGTACTTGTTAATTAATAGGCCAATAACAAATTCTGATGCTGGATCTAAGTTAATTCCTTTCCAGGCTTATCACACTATATATCACTTATAGGCCATATCACTTGTCAGTGCTCATATCCTAATTGTTCTTCTCGATTCAGCTTAACTTGAGGTATTTTGTATATCTCTTCCTGTATTTGCTACATTTCATCTAATAACAATTGAATGTTATATCCTACAGGTGTAAAATGGCGGATGTAAAAGAAAAAGTAAAAGACACAACATCTGCACAGATCACATTGAGAAGACTAGCTGAAGAAGAACGACTTGTTCATAAAGCGTTGCAAGAGGTGAGACTAGCGATTGAAAAAAACAATATCGAGCTCATGGAAGTTCATAGTAAAGTCAGCGAAATAAAACGTGTTTGTTCACAAGAAGTATCAAGAGATGAAGATGATAAAAGTCTTATAGCTAACCTTCCTTCGTGTAGTAATATGGACATTGATAACCCAAATGTTGTTAATCAAACAAAGATTGACCTTTCAATTTTTCCTAAAATTGCAAATGGGTCTGAAGAAGAAGAAAGTGATGACTCTGACTGAATTGTTTCCAAATTTAGATTTTGTTACCTAGCTATTTAACATAGCCCTAGTTTGTTATAACATAATATATTTTTCAAAATAAAATAACTGCAACAAAATATTTAATCCTTACAAGCCCAAGGGTTTTGAGTAAGAACATACTGAATATAGCAATGGATTTTATATTAACTTAGTTATTTGTCAGATTAGATTTTGAGGTAGCGACTGGTGTTCATAGGTGGTGGGATGGATCTGCATATTTTTATATACAAACGAAAGCCTAACATCATTCATGTTTGTCAAAGAATTAAAAACAAATTAAGGGTTAAATCTTTAATACAAACACACATGAGCCCAGCCTACGGTATATATATTTATTTAAACTTGTTTCCAAAGCTCCTATTGTATAATAGTGTCTGCAAATGGGCCTGTCCTGAAAATAACATTAACAAAATAATGATAATATTGCATTGAATAACTAAAGTAATAAGGAATAGAAAGCCAAATAAGTAAAACAGCTTATAAAAAAATGCATTCCAACACTTAAAAACCTAAAAACCTATTGTACTTCTCTAATAATAATTAACCAGAAATGCCTACCTTTGACTAAACTGGATGTGAAATCAATTTAATAAAGTATACAGTTAGTATTTTACTTAAATACACGCAAGAACAGTACTCCTACTCATCACTATTCATTAATCACTAAACAACAACACCAAGCCAAACCCAAATTAACAGTTTGGGTTGTTTTCTAGTTTTAGGAATTAGATGGTTTGAGTTATGACAAACATGTGCGCCAACATCAGTTCTACCCATCATGACGGTAGCTTGCCATACAGACAGAATATCCAGATTGTGGTGGCTGCCCTGATTCAAGAGTGCACGCGCAAGTTTGGACTCTGCCCCAAAGCGGCCATACTAAAGCATTGGAATGACGTCACGGCACCATCAGCCCTGTTCGGTTGTTCTGCCATAAGGCTACATGTATTGGGATTGGGACGGTCTGGCTGCCGTCCTTACTAAGCAAGTGACGATCAAAGCTAAGTCTTTACTGAATTGTATTATCCAATTATTTGATACATTTATGTTGTAGGCCTATATTATTTAAAATACTCGTTTAAGTAATTTTATCCTATATATAATACGAGTAAAGTTTGAATAATTGTTACTTCGATCTGGGAATCAGCTCTAACAAAAACGTTTAAATTTACGGAATAACTAAGTTCTGGGTAAAAAATAAGTTCTAGACCAGTGGTATAGCCAGGAAAAATCTTTTTTTCGCCATAATATGAGTACAAACTTTTGAAAATTTAACATGGGCCTTATGAGAAAACATTCCGCCATTATTGTCATTTGTTTACATTTTAAGACATAACTCGACGTTCTGTACCCACGGGCACCTCAGCTTGCGCATTGCGCAGAAAGCTCTTGAAGCACTTTCCGAGGTAACTGGTGTACGATGTGTATGTCTCCCTCACCAACAAGGATCAACCGTAATTTTTTTCACTCAGAAAGTGTCCTGAGTTTCCGGAAAATTGTAACATGTTACATTTTAAAAATTAAGGGTAAATTAAAGGTTTAGGTTCTGGTTTCTGAGCGAGTCCAAGTTCTTGCAGTGACGAAGATTTTCTTACTGCTGATAGCCTTTTTCGAATTCAGCGTGAAAAATACTGAGTAATTTCTATAGTTTGGGCCGTTTAGGGAACCAAACACATTTTTGAAAACTCTTCTATCTCATCATTTCAGTAAACTATGATAACTTATTATTATTTTAATAGAAGTTAAATAGATGTCAAGAAAAAATATACCACAAATTATTATTTTTGGGATAGAATTACATTGACCAAAGAATACTCTCAGAGTATAGTGTAGTGATAAAGTTTCCCGAGCAAAGCTCGGTCCCCAGGTACTTTAATTTAACTGAAGAATTTTAAAATATAATTTATCTATGTATTGTTGGGAGGGCGGGGTCTGAGAGTCCGTATAGGCTAGCCGCCACTGAGATTTTGATCTTGTATGCCACAGGAATTTTTTCCTCTTATGTAAGGAGATTATTATGTCATAATAGTAAGAGGTAATATTTTCATTACGTAGAGAATGTTTACCTGAATTGCGAGATCACAAAAAAAACTATACATTGGATGAAGCTAGTTTATTGTCAAAAAGTTACAAATTGTAAATGGAAATACTTCTCGAGTCAGTGTAATTCCCCCAGAATAAATAGTTACAATTCACAGCCCTAGGATTGTAATTAATGACAAATATGTTACATCTACTCTGCCATTACTTTAGTTCTGATTATTTTAACAGAAGAGAGAGTCTATGGAAGATTTTGAGATCTAAGAAGGCTTTCATTCTAGCTAGCCTGACTCTAGGTAGTCCTGAAAGTGCCCTTTTAAAGTAAAAAGGTCTGCAGTAAATTGCTACTAGGTTTTTATACCATTTATTAAAAATGTAACAAATGTGAAAACAATACAATACTGTTTATCTCACTATTAAACAAGGATACGACAAATGAAAAAAGTATCCAATATTTATTTACCAAAGAAATACATCTTGGAATCACATACTACTGTTTTAATTTCCCTCTATTGATAAAAAAACCTTACAGCTTGGAATTTACACTTTGCTCTTTAGAGATCTATATAAGTCTAATATTAATCAAGAGGGCAACAATAAAAGGAAAATTGACACTGCATAGAATAATGTGAAATTTGTATAAATATTAACAATTACAGATTAGATGATAACCTTTTGATCGAAACAAATATCAACTGTAATTTTGAAATCTTACGACCACAGGCATAGAATTTTATTATGTCTTTGAAATCTGAGATTTATATAAAGCAATAGGTAAAGACAGAACTTAACACTACAAAGCTGATTGTAAAATTAGCACGACCATTGGCCAAATCAGATTTGAAATGAACTTTTCTCAAGTGCAAATCAATTTGGTAATTTGGAATCGCAAGACCACAACATGTGTTTCACTATTAAGTCTTTGATTCTTCTCACACTATCTATGGACCATCTCCAAGAACTGTCGAGCCAAGTTCTGTCTCACCACGGATGACTGGATGGAGCCGATAGAGGTTGTCACAGTGTTCATCTCGTGAGCCGTGAGAGGCTTGCGTCGACTACCTTCTGGCAACAACTGCTGTAGCACCTGCAAACATATGTCGCTCTTAGTGGCGTTGTCGTAAATTTTCCTGTATGGAAACACTCATCATCGCCCCGGGAAAACCAAGGGTCACCTACTAATAGCATTTTGTAAAAGGCTACAACAGTGCTCTTACTATCTTTATTTATCAACTTTATGATTTTGATTAGTTTATATGTAGTGAAATACAATTTTTTGTGCTTCATATCAGTAATTACATTATGAGTGTGAATCCTAATCATCCGATCTATGGTTATACACCCTCCCTGAGAACAATTGAGTTCTCTGAAATTGCAAGCTATTACATATACTGTAGCAAATACCTAAAGAATCACTTAGTCTCTCCGTCTGTATTCAGAAAATGCATGTTATGATTCAAATACCACTTCAAATTGATTGTACTTGTTACCTTCTTTTAGGGTTAACTAGTTTAATTTTATGTTAAAATTACTCTTTATTCGTCAAATATTTTAATTTTGTTTTTACAGTTCCACATATCTGCATAGTTGGGAAAGTTAGTCAAAAATTCTAACTAGTTAGAAGTTATAAGTTAGTCCCGTAAAAAGTAACTGATAGAAGTTATAAGTTAGTTAGTTTAAAAAGTAACTGATAGAAGTTATTAGTTAGTTGAAAATCTAACTGATAGAAAATAAAGTTAGTTTTAGTATAAATTAGCTGTTCGTTGGGCAGTTGTTTTAAAGTATTTTTTATGTCACATCTTGGTTACTAATATATACTATAATATGAGTAAAGATTGCGCACGATACGATTTTAAAAATGGCTCCTACGATTTCCTCCAATTTCAATGCCATTGAAAATTGCTTGTATAATACATTTGCATTGTATGATGTCTTACTAACCAAAGGAATAATTACGACTATTCAAAAACATTAAGTGTTTTACTGCAAAATAATAAACACTGACATTGAACTAAAAATCTAAAGGAAAGGCCAAGGAGATTTGTATTTTTCGACGATGCACGCATGAATTGATGCGTTATTACACCATCCCGTAATTATAGTTGCAACGTTCCACGATCCCAGTGACTTAATGCAATAACGGTCGTCAGATAACAGATGTTATGTATCATGAGCTTTATATTGATTGAAGCTTATTGTGGAAATTTTATAGATTGATCGTCCAGATTAAAAAGTTTTGTAGACTAAATTGAGGATAAGTGGATGTCTAACAAAAACTAATTGACTTTACTACTTAATTAATTGTAGTAAGACTGAAAATATGTGTAGGCTTATAAGCTCTATTTTTTACCTCTTGAACAAATCAAACACCTCGAGCAAGATCGGTCCCCTGGTACTTGTGTTTTAATCAAACATTGTCACATTTTACATTACTACAACATAAACAAATGACATAAAACTTGTCAGATAATGAACATCAACTAAAGGCAATGTTTTGACACTTGAGATGATATATCAATCACCAAACAAATATTTCCCCTTCCCACCCATCAGTGCTTGCTTGGGGTGTTGATAATGGCCGTCACTACCCTTCCACAGGCCCACTGCATTCCAAAGCAACTGGACTTTGACTTGACTTTGACTTTCTCTTTCCCCACCCCCCGCGTTGTTAGTCTACAAGGGCACTGACCTCTCACGTACGCAACCCTCACTGATCACGTGAAATAAATAACCCGTATTTTAGCTGCTTCCGCATAATTGGGCAAGTTAGTTGAAAATTCTAACTAGTTAGAAGTTATTAGTTAGTCCCGTAAAAAGTAACTGATAGAAGTTATTAGTTAGTTAATTTAAAAACGAACGAATAAAATAGAAGTTAGCCAAAAAAACTAACTGATAGTGCTATTCGATAGAATTTCTATTAGTTATTCCCAAGTATGCATATCTGGATACTTTACTTAAAACTTTTCGGTCACAGAAATTACATACAGGTTTGCCATACTACCTAACCTACTGGTGTTTTCAGTACTAAATCCATGTGTTGAAAATTAATGAAAACAGGGAAGCGTGGCAATTCTTTATTATAGCAGGTAAAAGTTAAGGCCACATGGCTTTTAGCGAATTTCCCTATAGGCAATTAGCTATTACCGTAGGTGGCACGGTACGACCTGGAGCCGGGACCGATAAACTTTTTCATTTTTAAGAGGAGAAAACCATTAATCGTTCAAATTTTTATATATACACACATGACCGTGAACGCGATAACTTGAGTAATTTTTGTCTGATTTGACGAAATTTGGTTTGAAGATGTAAGGCGGGATAAACTTGAATGAGTTTGCGAACCAGTATGATCGCACTATGGGAACAGGGTTTTACGACATTTTATTGGGGTAAAAATGGGTTTTTCTAATTTCTGAGCTTAAAAAAACTGTTGGAATTTCTGTTTTTACCTTATATTGATTATAGTCAGCCGATGCAACAGTTATAAAATGGTCGGTTATTGACGTGTGTATTATTGTTGACTTTATTATTGTCTGTTAGACTGTATTTACATGTTTTACGTTGGTAAAAATGTGGTCAATGCAGGTCTTGGAATCAGCTGAAACTCGAGTTGGGCTATTAATGCATGGTGTAAAGCCTGCCGTATAAAGAACGTCAAGATATCTCTGGGGCAAAATATGTGTGTAGTTGCTGTTGGTAGTGTATCAGCGTGGTTGGTAGGGTTAGTGTTGGAGGGATAATAAAATTAAGTATACAGGGTTTCCTGTAATTAAGTGCAAAAAATATGTTATTCTTGATTACTATACGGTGACCCATTAAACCTGTCCCTGAATTTTTTACAACTCTCACCATTATTCCTTACAACATACCTTGACCAATGAGAGACCTGACGACTCTTGACGATCCAACGGAAGGCTGGACATCAACAGACACATTTTGCTCAGAACGCTGATGCGGTATTCATTGTCATCTTTCGTCCAGCGGGTCAGTTCATCCTAGAAACAATGGAACATTTTAGTAGAAAAATGGTTAGAGCTAGAGGTTAGCAATATTGATATTTAAAAAAACTTAAGGATGAGCCAATTCTGATCCTCAATACCTTCAATACCAGCGGTACTGAAGAATCGCTGATACTCGATACTTCGCTTCATTGTAGTCGATACCGATTCTGAAAAAGGAGGTTAATTATGATGCTGAAGTTGCAACATAGGTTTACACATTTTTACAGAATTTGACCAAAATGAATTATTTCTACTTGAGTTACTGTGCTAACCGATTATTATCTATGAATTTTTTACTGGGTTTTTGGTCTCTAGTGACATCTAAACAAAAAAGTAAATCGATGCTGAGCCCAGGTCTTACCATGAGCCTATATGGGAAAATCGCTAAAAAAAGTCACTTGTGACTAACAGGGGATCTCACCTTGATAACATGTGCAATGTTGAGGATCGTAGCGCTGAGGCAGGTGACGACTGTTTGGTTATCTGGCTTCATCTTGGCGGAGTCCAGACACAACAGTAGAGTGTCGGTGACGATGTTGAAGAGAATGAGGAACTCTGAGCACTTGGGGGCAACCACACAAAACATCTCTCGCCACTCGCCAACAGTCAGCGTAGGTAGTACCTGCCAAACATAGATTATGACATCAGTGTATAGGTTCGGTGACAATGTTGAAGAGAATTAGGAACTCTGAGCACTTGGGGGCAACCACACAAAACATCTCTCGCCACTCGCCAACATTCAGCGTAGGTAGTACCTGCCAAACATAGATTATGACATCAGTGTATAGGTTCGGTTACGATGTTGAAGAGAATTAGGAACTCTGAACACTTGGGGGCAACCACACAAAACATCTCTCGCCACTCGCCAACAGTCAGCGTAGGTAGTACCTGCCAAACATAGATTATGACATCAGTGTATAGGTTCGGTGACGATGTTGAAGAGAATTAGGAACTCTGAACATTTAAGGGCAACCACATAAAACATCTTTCGCCACTCGCCAACAGTCAGCGTAGGTAGTACTTGCCAAGCATAGATTATGACATCGGTTTGTATTATTTAATTATTCAATTTACGGACCTCTCAAAGATTTAAATTTTTGGCTTGAAACTAGGGATGTGTCGATTCTTGAACATAGTTAGTATCAAGAATTGGTCTACGCCCATATTATTACCTAGTCTACAAAGAGTACATGGTTGAATTCACCCTTTTCGATAGGGGAGAACAACAAACAGTGACCACGGGAGACAATGATGTCCATACGACTAAGGAAGGTGATCAGAAGTTTGATAATTGTGTGATAGTTGTTGTGATAATTGAAAATATTTAAAAACGTTACCCTGTTACCTAATAATAATTATCATCTGTCAAGCCTTATTATGCACTTTAAATTATCGTTCAAATAAACCAGTTGAAGGCCTTATTTTACAATAAAAACCTGTTGCTAATCACGGATTAAGCTTTAATATACAAACTTCCATCTTGTTTTAAATAGTGAAATCTAGGAAATCTAGTGTAAATACTGAGAAGTCTTAGTACTGATAAATTATTCAGATAACTAGACAAATACACAAACTAGATACTCATGATACTCACAAAGCATAGAGCGTAGACAAGCATAAGTCTTTCATCGGGCGTGATCTGTGACACGCTCCATTCTCCGATGCCGTAATGTGTGTAATACATGAGTCGCAGAGCAGAGTCCGATGGTACGGGTTCGTCCATCAGACGGTAGAGGTGGAAGCGGTTAAGTGGACTTATGTGTTGGCGGACCATGAGTTTTAGGTTACTTAACTGTTTCTCTGTAACAGACAAAAAATTACTGCAAGGCTCGTAAACTGTGCGGAAGGATAGATTAAGATTGAATAAATAGATTGGAAATGGTTTAGCTATTTCTTAAATGTGTTGTCTGTAATAATATATCAATTTTAAGATACAGACACATCAGAGTGTGTATTTTATGGTGAATTTGAATAAGAGAAGTAGAACGAACGAGATAACAGCTTGTTCTTTAGCTAGGAACGACTGTAGCCTAATAATCAAGGGCTGAGAACCATCAGAAAGCTTCTCTTTTTCTCAGTGTTGAAACAGTGACTTTCTGGTTGCTAGCATCATTACATATTTGTATGTACAGTATAGGTGGTGTATAGTGTTACAGAGCTCACCTTCAAAGTCTGAAGGTTGCTGGTTCAATTCCAAGCAAGACCATTGCTGGACTCAGATGCCATTGTCATTGGCCCATCAATTAAAAATACAATACAACAGAAGGTCGACGTTACACAGTAACAAAACCAGGGTTTTGTTTGGGGACTGTTCCCCAAGAAAAATGAAAAATGCCAATTGCATTGAAATACAAATAGGAAAAATTAGCTATGGAAAAGTTTATGTATTACTAGTAGTTTTCTATTGAAAAACAATTGATTTATAGACGAGAAAAATAGGTTTTGCCTTGGTCAACAGCTCAACCAGTTATAACTTGTATTAAGGCCGTTTTGATATTACAATGCCATCATCAGACACTTCAAGATCTGAATGAATCTAAAGCAGCATCATCAGGTCAAAACACATAATACAAAGATTTAACAAATATTAAAAAAAAAACCAACAGGCCTGTCGCACACACAGTACCAGTTGATTTAAGGTACTGGCAACAGGCCTCTGTTAACAACAATAGGGATTGATAGTTTAAGATTAGATTAGTTTAAGTTGTATGGCATCTTCATCCTTCCCCAAAATACAATTTTTTCATGTCTGACCAATCTTTTTTAAAGTGTAAATGTTGTTTTTACGTAGTCTGCTTTGGTTTGAGGTCATTTCATTTAAATATTCAACCGAGAAATATTTGAAAATTGTGCATCCTAAACCTTAAAACTATAAGTGACGGTAAACGGTAACTTAATACACAAATAATACACACAAAAACACCGATCAGAGTTAAGTATTGAATCTAAACATCAGTGCTTACGTACCATCAAGTCCCTGGTCGTGCCATTTGGAGACGTACATTGAGACTAAATGTAGGGCTTGCTGACACACTTGCGTTGCTGCGACAGTGTAATTGTTGGGCTGACAACGACTAGCCTCGACAACTTGCATCAACATCATTATGGTGGCAGGACAGTTGTGTACGCAGCCTATGTCTAGCAGTTCCTGTAATTGAGATATTGAATAAATGAATGAATATCGTTTATTCCAAAAAAACATAGGCTACAAGCTGTGATTATAAACTAAATAAAGTATAATAGACAGAGACTTTTGTCACTAAAATATATTATACGAGTTTTAATAAAGCCAAAAATTATAACAATAAAATAAAGGAACCAGCAGACATAGGCAGTGCTACCTGTGCGTCTGCTAAGTTGCTGTCAAATAGAAAAAAGAAAAATTATTGAATTTCGGAATGGCAATTAAAAAAAGACAATAGGTCGTTATTATTATTAGTTAAATAAGTGAATCTATTTCCATGAACACAGTGCTGGTAAGATAGCGCTTTATAGATTTTCGTGTTGGCAGGAGAGAGAGAGAGAGAGGGTGTGTGTGTATGTGAGTTTCGTGTGTAATGGTGGTAATGAAGAGAGTGGTGAGTGGATTGTAGGGTAAAGAGTGCAGTGGGGTGTAGGAGAGTGGTAGTTCGACTGCGGACAGTCCTAACAAGTGCCAAGGTCAGTAAGTGCAAAGGTCGGATCAAGTGCGCCGGTAGTCCGCCGTGATAATAGAGTCGGCCTCGTCGATATTTAAACTGAATAGGAAATCATTGACGCGGAATTTAAATACCTTTAATGAGTAACAATCAAAAAAATTGAAATCCATAAAAATGTTGCATATGTAATATGTAATATATAATATGTAATGTATGTTGTTGCATATTGTAATATTATTATCGTAATATTGAGATATTATGTACACACCTATTCTTGTTTGTTTATCTTTATAGTTTAAAGAATGTTTTGACAGATTGTTTCACCCAGGTAATTGAAATCAAGTTGTGGTACTGTTTTTAGAGTAGGCCTACAGTTGTAGTACTTGCTCAATTCATTTGCAGCAGGTGACTTCTAATTCTCTAGAATACAAATCTGTGACCTTTCAATAATGTTGGGCTACACAAATTCTCTGTTATGCGCATAGTTTAATCTGTTGTTAATCAAATGAGAGTGTACACATGAACAGAACAATTTGCATTAGTTTTGACTAAGTATATAATTAGGCTTGGTAAAAATACTATCGCATTTCCATTGTTGCTTGTAACATTGCAGCATGAAAGACCAAAATGAACTGTTTACAGCATAACTCCTAAAGCATAAATTCTTTTGATAACCTATTCAATATTAAAAACAAATTTTCCAAAATAATTTTTAAACGACTTTAAATTTGTAGCTGAAGAAAGTGTAAGGAACTCTTGTTCTGCTTCAGTTACTTTACGTATGCCTCATCATAGAACGGCAGTTTACGACTGAGCTTTTGTTGTTTCTGCTTGTCACCTGGAATGATCTCCCTTGATAGCCGTCCCCGGTTTGTGGCAGCACTAAAAAATCTGTTTTCTGGACATATGGCCATGGTTCTCATATGGCTTTCTGTCCTAGGCGTGCGCTTGGTTGTTCACTGAGAGGTGTGCATGTGAGCTTTTGCAAGTGTGTGTGCGTGTGTGAGAGGTGTTAATAAAAAGTGGAAAACATGTTAAGTATTCTATGTTTTACAATTTTATTGTTTTTTATACATTAAATATTGTAAATAGATTGTAGGATAAATGTACCTAAAGTATAGGTTTAGATTTTTGTGGCCTTAATGTTACCTGTTTAAATTAATCATTTCCATTTCATAACTGTGGCTCTAATAGAAATCTGTGTTTTTAAAACCAGTGGCTTTTTAAATTCTGAACCCCCGTAGAAAAATAATAAATTTTCAGTGACCAGTACCACTGTTATTTGTGTGGTTTGTAGCTCTGAATTAAATACTTACCGTAAGAGTTTCAAGACAAACAGACATCACAACCCAGTTTTCTGTTTTCATATGCGTAAACAGCTTTCCCATGAGGCAATGCTGGATAAACTGTTCCCCGGGCAGAATCGTCCTCATCACTAACTCCCGAACCTGAAATTCATTGTTCTACATTGCACATGGTCATATTGACAGCTTTTAATCAGTTCCTTAATAAATTAGCTAGATTATAGTATGCGTCTACATAACAACAATTACTGTAATACTGAAGACTTGGCACCACAATAATTATGATGGTTATTATGGGCGTACCCAGGATCAAAACTAGCAGGGGGGTAGTAGCATAGCCAGGTATATGAACTAGGGGTCGCTGGGGTATGGAATACCGGCGGCGGTTCACTCCCATGACAAAAAAAAAACAGATGTAAAAACAATATGCTGAAGTTGGTGTTTTTATGCTATTTTGAGACATGAAAAATACATAACAACCTAGCTTGATGACCTAGCTTTTCAGATTGGTTTTATAAAGTGGTTTTATGTCTGTCAATGAGGTCAAGTGCTTAGTACAATACATATTTTACTTTATTTTTTTATGTCCATGCCAACTTTTCACATTCATTTATATCACCCGAAATATATAGTAGGCCTATCTAGTATCATAATAAATAAATAGTAAACAAAGGTGTAAAACATATGTAATAAAAATAAAATTAATAGCTTGAAATTTAACTTACAAAAAATGGGTAGTTGATCCGCTGGCTCTCTGGTAGGTCGGGGAGAGCAACAAGAAGCTCATCCAGGGCTTCAATCAAAAGTGTGCGGGGTGTGGACCGAATTGTGTGACAAAACGGGTGCAGTTGGCCGAGTATGCCAGCCATAAGGTGGCCTCGGACTTCGCTGGTGATACCCTCCGACACAGCTCGCTTCAACAGAGCCGCTGCGTCCTGGAGTGCCAGGCTCACAAACATCGGCATCAGCTGTAAAACGGTAAAATTAGTAACAGACCAAACCGTCAGGAATCCTGAAAAGGGTTAGGGTTTTTGTAATAAAATCTACAATATTTCTACTAAAATTTTTCTAAAACAAAACATGAATGATTACAGTTGTGGTAAATTTGTTGCTAGCCTAGTGGTTAATGTATTCGATTTCAGCGTGAGAGGGACTGGATCAAAAAATTACTGCTTTCCCTAGCGTTTGTGACACTTCCAGTCAAAATGCCACAGGCATACACTAACATACATAAACGTTATCAGCAAAATGGCATATACTTTCTCCTACAACTTGTAAACATCTCTTATAGTGGGTAAGCGGTGGAAGTAAAAGATACTGTCTACCTACCTTAGCAAAAAAAGCTATTGAATTGTTAGCAGCATGCCCAAACACCATATCTTAAATGTAATCGGTCGGTCTAGGCCTAACACAATCACCATTTCACTACTGAACAATTCAAAAATGATTGAGATAAACTACAATTTACAAGGAAGTAAGTTAATTTTGGGCATAATAAACAAGTACCTACAGAGGCCAAAATCTATTTGCTTTTGACTATAAATATCATGATAGAATGGCCTCAGGATCTGAATGAACCAATACAGATTTAGATTAGGCTACCTACCTGTCAGCTGTAAAAAATGCTTTGTCAAAAGGATCGTTTTGACAGCAACCAGTTAGGCCTAATCTAAACCTATATAAGGCCTAGACTAAAATAATAATCCAGTTTTGGCAGTTCTGGGCTTTCAATTCAGGGATGGTTAAAATATTCCCCTTATTCACGTAGGCTATAATTAAACAGTTTGTACCACTCATCTATTGTGTATATTTAGAAAACAAAATTATTCCTTACCTCCTTTTCCTTATCTTCTTCATTAATGACCATATTAAAAGTCTCTACCATAGTCGATTGAAAATCTTCCTGTTTTAAAAAATCAGAGATTCCGCAGACTTCAACAAAAACATTTGAAACTTCCGGTAGAACATTAACACTACACTGTTTTATTGTTTCAAAAATAAAAGTTTTATGATGTAGTGAGTCAGGAGTGTGTATTAAATGCTCAAAAATTGTCTTATAGAGTTTCAGAACATCATTGGATTCCAAGTTATTGACTCTGCTAGCTAAAACATCAAGAGCAGATGGATCGACGACAAAGTCCGGATTGCTTATTAAATATTTCAACCATTTTGCAGAATCCTTTTCTGGATCATTGATATTGTTCAGTACTTTTTCTAAATCAAGAGAAGCTGCTAAGTCCTCCTCTGTGCTTGGTTTGATTGCAATATTTGTCAATCTGTTTAACAGCTCAGAAGACTCTTTCGATGACAATCCCGAACATTCGGCTTCTTTCAGAGCTTCTTGACATTTGAACGCTTTTTCACCCACAAGCTTTTGCAGGGTGTTCTCAGTATCAGGTATTTCGTCCAAATCAATCTCCAGCCAAAACAGCCAAATATCCAGGGTGATGTCGCTGACATTCTGCAGACATCTTGCCACTATATGTTCATAGCACTGCTGTAGAGTAATGGAGCCACTGGTGGAAACATCTGGTAGATGCTTAAGATCAAAGGAATCATTGTCAATCTGTATACTGAACAAAGAGTAGTCAATTGAATCATCATTATCATTCTTCTTCAAATATATTTTAGAACATTGATGCACTAGTTCTAATAAGCTTGCCATAACTAATCCAGCATAATGTTTCAGTTTAGATTTTTTCCAAGAGCCCATTCTTTTCACACTTCCGCCTTTTTCTGCATCGTAGTGCAGGAGAAGCCTTTGAAACACATCTTTTAAGTGCGAGTAGTACTTATCCGTTTCATCTGTTTCAACGATCTTGCTGAACAGCGATATGATCAAGTTTTCCGTCAGATTCACAGCCTCAAAGAGATCAATCCACTTAAGAGATTTCAAGCATATGTCAGCTACTTCAACGGAGAGGGAAGAATTGAAGTGTTTCACTGATTCGTACAAATATATATTTAACTTTAGACCGAGGGTTAATTTTATAAACAAATCCTGACTAATTTTTGGAAAGAAACCAACTAGATGCGCACATTTTCTATTTTTCTTCAAATCATTGTACAGACTGATGTCAGTGTTCAAGAAAAGAAGAATATAAAGCTGAACTTCCACTCTGTGGTTTGTATCTGGAGGCCTGCCAGTGATAGCCTTCTTTAAAGAAGCTTCCAATTTTGAATACTCCTCTTCATTTTCTGAAAAAGGTGGTCAAGAAAGTTAACTTACATTTGAGTTAATTCATTAATTAAAGTAGGAAAGGAAAGGTCTTTAGCCTAATTCCACTCTTGAGTTGGTCACTACTGCTTGCAAGGACAAGCAATCAAGGAGAAGCAACATAAAAACAAAACAAGGTGACTTTTAAAGTAGTTTATAAGTTGACCCAAAATTCAATGTTTAGTATTCCTAATAAGCTTACTGCTTAAGACCAATAAGTGGCAATGTATATGGGCAACACTTTGATTCCCGACTTCAATTGTAACATCTAACCAAACTATCGGTATAATCAGTAATGTATCAAATCAATGTAGGTGCATTTAATTAGTAGAGAAGGCCTAGGTCTAGGGATATGACAAGACAAGCTGCCGAGTCGAGTCAAACTATTTTTTAGTTTTTTTTCAGTCGTTGGCTAACTTATTTTTATCATAGTTTGAGTTAACTAGTTAAAAAACTATGAACTCTTGAGGAGATACCAATCTGACACAAAACCTGTCCTAAAGTGAATCTGAGAAAATTACATCATTGGCCGAAAGCGAGTCAGACTCGTGAAATTAACAATTCATTGGCAGAATGTGAGTCGCACGCCTGATTTGAATTTTGTAATAGCTTAAGTAGGATTTTTTGCATGTAGGGGTGGAAATAATGTCAGTAGATATAGTGTAGTATGAGTCATTGGCCAGTCATGGATTTTCCTAGTTCTTCTGCCCATGAGTCAGTTCGGTCAAAAGCTTTATACTTTTTGTAGTTACCACTTTTACTAGTTAGGCCTACTTATTTTTATAAATAGGCCTAGATTGTTAACCCTACATCTGTGACACCTTGGAGTTTTCCTCCGGGCGCACTTGGTTTAAATAGAAAAATAAGTTATGTGATACCGCCAGCCGGTAGCTTTAAGAGTAACATTAACTTACCTCATGTGTATCTTTCTATGAACCGATTGAACATTATTTTAATCTTACACCTCCCCTGTAAACCCCCTATTAATCAGTTGAAGCTCGAAAAGTCACGTACTTTAGCACAAAGCCCGGCTCCGTAAGTCTTTTTTTAAAGAGATTGGCGGCCTCTTTTAACCTTGCATTTGCTGGTCCACATAGACTAACTGCCCGTGCGTGGAACGTATCCAGCAAAGCAAGGGGTGAGCCAGTACAGTACAAAGGTGAACTGTACTGATAAAATGTTTTTGGCAGTGACCAGGATCCGAACCCACGACATCGCTGCCTTGAGCCCGAAGTCCGTGACGCTACCGACTGAGCCACTGACTCACCTAAGGGTGAGTCACCAATGGTGTTGTTGTTTTGTTTGCCAAGTTATATATTTTTGTCGTCTAAAGTAAGAATTTTTATTGATTGCATATTGCATGTACAATTTGACTAATTCTTACATGGTTTTAATATGTATTTTATTAATATTGTATTAAAAACATATTTTGGCTAATGTTTCAACACCCGGAAAAAACTCTGTATGTCACCAATTGTGTTGGTTTTTTCTTTGTCAAGTTATATATATATATATTATAAAGCCTATATTATACATATGTATAAAATATGTTTTACCTACATAGGCCTATGTTAAGGAAGAGTTTAGGCTATATTGACTTCATATGTACAATGTTATTGGTAGGTAATACACACTTTTTGGTCGTGTGGATACACCGGAATCGAGTTCAAGGTTCAAGTCAAGCAACTACTCGAGTCACTACCTAGGTCCAACAATTAGCCTATTAATAATTCTTCATTATCCTATTAAAAACTTAAAACCTTTTAACAGATTATTAAGATAGCCTACCCTAGGCCAACATTAACTTTATTATGGGTGTTCTCACTCCATCTTGTTCTTAAATGGAGAATAGTCTACAGTACTGACAATAATTATAAACAGTTGTAGCTATTATAAAAACCAAGACCAACCTTTCTTGATGTTGTAAAGAGGACCTATTAACTTTTCTTCAGTTTTTAAAACACCTTGTATTTTGTACAGGAAATTGTCTAGCTCCATCATACGATGTTTTTTTTAACTTAGTTATTAAAAATGGTATAAACCCTTAAGTGACTGAGTTTAAACACCTAACAATCCACACGTGAAAGGTACATTAAAATTTAAAATTTAGAGCAATTAATTGAAATTGGAACAGTTTTAAAATAATGTTTTAATATTTGAGTTACTAAACTTCTCTTGTATGCCCATTGAGCACTGAGCAGACAGCTTTGTTTTACTTTACTACTCAGTCAGGTGTTTTTTTTTCAGAATTTTGTTTTTATCTTTTCGCATTAGGCAGGTTGTAACAATATACTTTGCAGCTTTAAAACACAAGATAAGTATAAATTTAAAATAAAACTTCACCAATATTTTCAGAATTTTTAATTTCATGAGGTCTTTCGCCAGCTATGCTCATTATCAGCAGACACATTACAAAACTGAACGTCGTATTTATGTTTAAAAATACAATGATAAGATTGATAAGTCGGCCTGAGACTTTATACATTTGAAAACCTTGATATCATCGGAAAACAGCAAGCATTGAGAGTCGATACAATCCACAACATCGTTAACAAATAATAATATTGAAAATAAATTGACCCATGAGAACTCTGGGGACTCCTGAAACCGCAGAGATACATTGGAAACAGCAAGAGTCATCGCTTACCCAAGGCCACACTAAAAAAAACAGGCCATAATGCTCGTCAAGCATGATGTCACGATATAAGACGGCAATGACGTAATGTTTAATATTTTTGTGACAAAGGGTATTTGTTTATTTATTTTCCAAGGAAAGATTAAAACAAGCAGCTGATCACAAACGGTAAACTACGTCATTGGCGTCTTCGAGAGTAACATGAACTATGGAGTATCGGGGAGGATCATCCTGCGCCAATCTGGAAAGAGTCTTACTACTCCAGAAGAGAGCCATACGAACAATGGCAAGGTTGGGTTGGCGAGATAGCTGCAGAATGTTTTCCAGAGATTGGGGAATACTCACAGTTGTAGCCGTATACATCTTGGAAGCTGTGGACTCCGCATGCTCTAGAAGCCTCAAAAGAAATGGCCGTCTTTCCTACAACACCAGACATGCTGGAGACTTCAACCTGCCCCTTCATCACAGGAAATCTTTCGAGATGAAACCTTCCTATGCCGGAGCCAGATTCTACAATCTTCTACCAGAAGAACTGAAGTCTGTGTGTCCAAGTAAAATCACACCTGAAGCAGTGGCTGTCCCAACGTCCCTTTAATACTATTAAAGAATTTATGAACTGGAGAGACCCTATTATGTGAAGTACACGCACTACACAATCTCACCTATTGTAACAAAAACATTACCCTGACGCCTGTCAAATCTTAACGATTTTGATTTAAAGTTATTCTCTCTATCTTTCTCTCTCTCCCCCTCTCACTCTCTCTCCCTCCATCTAACTCTCTCTCTCTCTCTCTCTCACAAACCATCTCAACAGGCTTAACCTTTTCATTTCATTTCATTAAAATGATCATTTCATTTAGATTAGTATGTTTTGGCCCTTATAACGCTAAATAAAACAGTGCAACCCCCCTATTGCTGCACAAACGGGAAAAAGGCCACAGTCTAATTTTTTCAAAAAGTAAGACGGGTGTAAGTTATTATAATCTATGACTAACGTTGGTTTCGTGTGGCTTATCGTGAGCTTATCAAGCTCAAGTCAAGTGCAAGTGCTGCTGCGGGCGGCCCTGTCCCCTGTCTCACCTCACCCACTCCACTCTCTCAGACTCACCTCCCTTCATCTGTTTTTCAGTATGACGTTTGACGTTTACTATTTTATCAAATAATCATAAAGTTGAGACGAATCATAATTTTATTCATTTCTGCTGTTCTGCAGTTGCAGTTGCAGTTCCCTTCAAATTTTGCTGTGTGTGTAGTGTGAGGCATGAAGTAGACTACGAAATATTTGCAGATATCAAAGTCAGTAAACACTAAGTTAGGAGGTAAAACATTTTCTAATTAACCTTATCATTTAATTACATTTATTTCAATAGGGGCCTATTTTGGTATACTGTAACTTATTTTATTTGAACCCAATGTCTCACGTTTTCATTCCATAAAAATTGTTTTTACCTTAGTGACATTGATGTGGGTTGAAAATGTTTGTTTTCTAGGCTTATTTATCACTTGGGAGTAGGCATACATACTGATTTTTAACTCTAATAAGTTAAAATGTCTCGAGCTAAGGTACAATACTAACTTAAGCCTCTAAGCTAAATTTAACTAATTTTTATGTCTGAGATTTAATAGCCAGGGATGAATGGAACCAACTTGACAATGATTACCAACAAAATAGGCCTAAAGGCAAAATTACTAAACTTGTTAGGCATTTAGGTTTAGCCTTGGCCTAGCTTTTTTGTTTGCCAGAAGATGGAACCATATTTAATCGAGATAACAATTAAAAAAATGCTTAAAGCATTCTTTAAGTTGCACCTTTGCTTACAGCCAAAAACTGGTTTCTGGTGATATTACTTATTTAAATTAATATAGATTCTCATGGTTACAACACAATTTTGCCACCATTGCAGGGCCGCTTGGGTTGATTTCAATTTAGCTTAGCGCAGCAAGTACCTTAAATACGACACTGATGTTCATATGTACTGGTAAGGATTATCTCTAGACAAATGAATAACTTATAGGCCTAGGTAAAAAAATGCATAAGATTGTGCGAACATCTTCCGCACAAGTTCAAGTAGATGACAGAGGGTTGCCGATAGACGAGTCCATTTGTTATTATTTGTGGTTACTGTTATTGAGGAAAAATAATAAATAGAGTAGTGAGAGTAGCCTATGTTATATATAGCCTAATGGTAATGATTTATGATTTAAACTTACCCTATCTCCTTACTCCTACAGTCATATTTTTGGCTTTAATAACATGGTTTCTGATACAATCTATGAGGCCCCCGGTGGCTCTCAACAGAGAGGACCCTCTATACGGTATTCTGATTCTTCGAAAGTTTAAGCCTAAGGCTGTAGAATACATTGTGTTATTGCTTCAACTCGATGAATTGACCGTTTTTTCAACAATCCGATCGGCAAAAAGACCTAGAAGACTAAATAAAGCTAATAAATAAGTCTATTATGTTTTTAAATAGTAATTAAGGTCTCAGCATCTTGACATTTTTCCTTTCTTTCGGGTTGAATAAAAAATGTTGACCTTCATTGGATCTAAATCAGTTAGTTTTGGAAATAATTCATTTTAAATGTATTAATTGATATACTATTTAACCGGTTTGTACAAAATCTGTAATCTCGGCCAAATTGTAGGCGTCTTCTGTGGTCACAGTAAAATCGTGGACATCTGCCGCGGTCGAGGAGGGATCAAGAACATCTTCAACGTTCACGGCAAAATAGTGAACATCATGGGCTGTTACGGAGACATCATCTTTGTCTCCTTCGATCATGACAAAATTGTGAAGATCTTCCGAGTTTGCGGGTACATGAACTTCTACTCTCGCGGAGCGATAAAATCCTGGACATCTTCCGCGATCCCGGGTGATTAGTGAAAACTCTTACATTAATGGTGAAATAGTAAAGATCTTTTGCGGTCGCGGAGATTTTATCAACATCTCCCTTGATCGCGGCAAAAAAGAGAAATAAATTTATCAAGACAACAAATTTGAGGCCTCAAGTGAGGCCTCTCCTAGGCCGAGGCCCCCGGCAACCGCCGTGTCCACCGTTAAGGAAGTACGGCTCCACTCTCTTTGAATTGTTCAATATTTTGGCTCATATTAGCTGTGGATTCTATCAAGTAATACTTCATGCAAAACAAAATTTGTGACTACCAGCAACAAAAAAAGTTTTAGGGAATAAACCTTTATTGATTAATTCCATGGACATTAAAAACTTGGTGTTTTGTTTCTAGTTTGCTGCCATCTAAATAAGAGTATGTTACAGTACCTTTTTATGTCAATCTATAACATTAGGCTTATAAATAATATAATATAGTCCTTTTATGGTGTTATTCAATATTTTATATTCTAGATGTTAAATACATAATTTATAACATTGTTTTCAACAAATTTATTGTTTTATACTTCATTGTTGTTGACAGTTTTATTATGAACAATGTCTAGTTGTATCAATAGTCAAAGATTAATCAATGGCACCAACCAATCATGTGTAGGCCTAATCTAAAACAACCATGGCCAAGTAGTGTAAAATTGTTATTTAAATGCAATAAAACAACATGCTGCAACTTCAGTCTGATTTTTACAAAACCAAATAGGCCTACCTCTGAAGCCCCCAAAACAGTATTTTAGGAGAACCGCTAACCTAAAATGTTATGTTTGGTATTCACGTCCAAACATATTTTGAAAATGTTTGTGTTTCTTGTTTCCAATCATTCTGGTGTCTGGGGTTCCCACAGTAAAAATATGTTTTAAAGCCACAGTTAGCTATTAGTAAAATATAATTTTTAAATAAACTTCCAAACACATACCCACTACCTTGTTAGCAATCTAATTTTTCTAATCTTTAATTAATTTCCAAATTATTTCAGATTCTAAATTCTAAAATTTATAAGACCTTGAACTTATTAATTTTCTATGGTTTTAAGATGCATAGGGCATACTTTATCATTATTAAATGTGAAGATGAACACAATCAAGGCAAAACTACTAGAGCATGATTAATAAGTTATATTTAAAATTGGTTTTGTATGCAAATTAGCAATCAGACCACCACAAACTATGGCCTCGTTCGGAGCTTACAAACACAGTGTTAGTTTTTATTACTTGGCTCTAGTTATTATTGAACTAGGCTTGTTATAGGCCTAATATAATTGTATTGTACTTTGTGACAGTATTTCAGTATATCATAGTTTTTATGATGTACCAAATGTTTCAGTTCTTAATAATGCAGAAAATAATGGCCAGTTTATTTTTATTTTGATCTTAATCAAATTCATTAAGAAAAAAAAACCAATATTGATAATCTGACGTCAGTAATACAACACCCTTCGGGCCCCTCATTTGTCGAATAAGTGAGAAACAACAAACTGTGTAGTAAACATTTTTGTTAGAGAATTCAGGCTTAAAGAAAACTGAAAAATTAGTTTTAGTGTTTTATTTTAATTGTCGACTGTAGAGGGTCTTTTCCCTAACCAACATTAGCCATTAAATGTCCGGCGTTACAATAAATCAATCAGTTACCCAGCATTTCATGTGCAAGGATGAGTTAGTCAATATTTGTTCTACATTTTAAGAGTCCTTGGAGGCTAGCCATCATCTTGGATAATTTTAACTTATGAGAAGAGTTAGCTGCTGAAGAGTTAATTATCATCCAACAATATTTTTTCAAACACTAAAGTGATTATAATTTAAATATCTAATATACTGTGAGATTAGAAATTGTCTTTGTAGTTTTGAATTGTTTTCCAAGGGAGTCCCTATGGAAGCCAACGGCCATCTTTGATTCGTCCGCCATAAGAGCAATGTTAAATTTGTTATGAATATTCGAATATAATTTCAAACAGCCGCTAAAGAGTTAATTACTATTTCAAATTATTTTTTTCAAATAGGTACCAAAGTGATTAAGTTTAAATATCTAGTATACTATGAAATTAGAAATGTTCATTGTAGTTTTTTAATTGTTTTATTAGTTCAAATGTCTAGGCTCCAAGGACTCTTAAGGGCCAGTATCAGTTATTCAATATTTACTTAGTAGGCATTCCAGAAGCCAGGAGTACCAATCAAAATGTTCTATGCATTTCAAGGTTAGGACATATAAATAATTTTTTTCTCTGCATTTCGTGGGGAAAATTAGTGACATTTGCTCTGGGTTTCAAAAGCCAGGATTTACCTATCACATTTTGTTATGTATTTAAAGGGCTGGCATATTTCAAAATTGTTATTTGCTCTGCATTTCAAGAGCAAGTTAATTAGTCAATATTTACTTTGCCATTCAGGGGTGAATATAAATTAATCACTATTTACTCATCATTTCAGTAGTTAGGATATACCAATCCATAGTCTTCCGGGACCACAATAAATCAGTCAAAATAAACTCTGAATTCTAGCGGCCAGGTATATAGGTAATGTATAGGCCTACCAATCAATATTTTCTGCATTTCAGGGGCCAGGATGAGGTACAACAAGCAAGAGCTGTTGACCCTGGCTACTCAACCTTCGCAGAAGTTTGACAAGGAAGGTGTTCTCCTGCTGAGGGAACGCCAGGAAGGCTTCTTTCGTAGGACTGAGAGTGAGTAGCGTCAAATAACGTTGGTGCATCCGTTTTGAAAGCCCCTTTTTGTGACGTTTACCGTGCATTTGGCATTACGCATTTTCCTTGTTGGAGGTACATTTGTTTAGGCTACCTTACTTTATTAACCTTGAGCGTTGTGCATTTTTGTACTCTTTTTTACAAGTCAGTGCTGTTTTATTTTGAATCTTGAACTACAGATACTTGAATATTTTTCCATATTCCAAACTTCATTAAACATTATTTAACATTTAAAAATAAAGTTAATCAGTTGAGTAAACTGAATTAGGCCTAATACACGGATTATTTATAAATCTCAAGTGCCATTGATTCCACAGTACCTATCTCCATATGTAGGTTTAATGGTATGCGGAGAAAGAATGTATCGTCTCGTAGGTTGCAAGGGCACACACAGGTGGGATGTATCATTGTTTAAACTGCATTGTTTAGAGCTTTATGTAAATCAAGTCTATTATCTTAACTGTTTGCTGGCAGCTCTGAAGGCCGATCATTCAGGTTTTGACAGAAACTTTTCTGTGCTAGAAAATATTTTTTCTAACTTTTTTTGTTATTCCTATTACTAAATGATTGGGCTTCTTTAGGCCACATATGTTGCATTCAAACTGACTTCAGAAACATATTTTATGTTTTTTTAACATTCTTAAAACTTAAAAGTTTTACTTGTTTTGGCCTAATTTTGCATAGGCTATAGGGGCCTATATTTTCTGTTTTGTGTTTGTTGTTAAGATATTATATATTTAATGCCTACTCTGCTATCTGCTTAGATGTTATTTAAAGTAAACTTAACTGAAATAGTTGTTATGGAAAAAGACAAAAGGAGTTTGAATCGTGTGGGAAAGTTTCATACAAAATTTTATTATAAAATTAGTTATTTATAATAGGTATACTTAATTATTTTTGCTTTGAAATATGAATTTTAATCTTTTCTCTTATGTTATTTTTCTTGTTTAATAACACTAATATTTAACTTAATCATCCATCAAACATTGGGAGGGGTAGCACTACTTATCTTAAATGTTTCCGTTTTTAACAAATTAGTATTAATTATGTACAGTTGTTTTTTCAATGTGTGTTCCCCCTCCAGCATGTTCTAGTGTTGTAAGTTCATTATGTTTCTATAAAATGTTTATTTAAGAGTTTACCAGTAATGAAGTATTTTGGAAAACTTAAATTTACTTTAATTATTTTAATTTCTCGAATGCACACAAATTTGTAGGCTTAGTGGTTTTTTTCTACGATAAACTAAATAAGATTTTTTAAACACAAAAATCCACAAAATGTCTATACCGTACAGTAACTTATTTCAAACTCGGCTTTAGATACTTGCGCTCCAATACCTGGACTTGTCTGCAAACTTGTTTAAGATTTACCGGTACCTAATTTCTTGTTAATGACCTTCTAAGTGACTCTGGTAGCAAACTACTCAAGTCAGTAGCTTCAATAGTTACACAGTTATTACCTGTGCAAACTGGTCACATTGTTAGTTTTTTTTCTTACGGATATTCAGAACAGGGCATGTGGACATTCTGTCAATCAGTCCAACATACTAGAATTTTCTGGAAAAAGTCATATTTCTTCAACAGAATTTATTCATACATCAAAATATTATCATGCTGTAAATGCATACGCAATTGTAAAATGAACTGTATAAATCTTTTTTTTTTTAATAATACTGATAATCTGTTGTTTTTTTAAACTCAGAAACCTTCCAAGTTACAACAACAACATTATGCCAAGTTTGTGGTACTTTACTGTATAGCAGACCTCAGTTTGTTAGTGTATCAAAATATTTTAAATATTCAAACTATTCACTCCATTAACTCAATACTGGTAATCTCAGCCTGCTCTGGCATGTTCGGTTGTGTGTTTTCTATGTGAGAGCATGGCATTGTTAATCTGCGGTGACGGCAGGTAGGGTCGTGACTTATCTTGTAAACGTTCCAGGGAAAGACTCAAAAAGAGGGAAACGGGGAAAACTACGTGAACTGAGCTGCTATAGTGGAACCAGCAAAGGTACTTTACACTTTTAACTGCGCATGGATAACACTAACCAACAGTGTCGTGGCTTAACACCTTCACGCTAACACTATTGTAGCGACTAACACGTTGGGCGCTCTTCTTTTCCTGTCGTCTGTGTTATTGTGATTGTTTGCAGGTCGAGGGGTCGTGAAGCTGATGGTCGCTTCTGGAGAATTATGTTGAACCCCCAGTGTTTCATTGTATTTGGCACATAAGTCTGTTCACAAAATTTAGGCGGTTAAAGAGGGAGGTTTCCTGTTTTCCCTCGCTAATTTTTAAGCTTAATCTGTATATCAGCTATCGGCTGTTGTTTCAAAGTTTAGGGTGAGGTGGAGATGGAATCACTTCCCCTCAAACTGCCTAAATGTTGTGAACAGAGCATTGACTTTTGAAGAGGGTAGACATCCTATCAGTGTGAATAGATGTAGCTAATTTCCATTCATAAAGAATTGAGTTGAATAAGCTGATAACAGAGTAGGCTACAGTTGTAATCAAAATAGATTACTTAGTTTTTGACACTTTCATGACCCAAAGGTGCCATAGTTTACAGTAAATTGACCCTTCAGTTCGGCTTGGTTAAAAAGTTGCTGTCTACAACAAAAATCAAAAGTTGTCGTCAAACACACACTGTTAGACGCAAATCTAGTTTGACTCTTCTTTTTAAACCGGCTACAACTTAAAATATGGTTATGGGATGTCTACTTTTAACAGTAAAAAATACTTGTTGTAAGGTGTTGGTTACAATGTGTCTCGTTTCAGCTTAAAAACGACATTAAGCATTTATATTCATTTTACTTGTTTAACAACTGTTACTAATTGTTCACACCAGTTTATCTCCGTGTTAAGTTTTATCTTATCAGTTGTTAAGTTCTGATCTTTCTAATCTGTTTTGCTATTCTGGCAGCATCAACACGTTAAATAATAAATAGTAACAACAGTAATCATTAAACGGTTGAAATAATAAAGATAAATTTGATTTATGTAGGTTGTGTTTTGAAATGGTTTGGACAAAAAAATATACCTTACCTTAAGACCTATAACTAAAAATTTTCTAGCTAAGAAAGTGGTCTATAACTTATACCACAGATTTAATATAGGCCTCCTCTTTTTTGGTTGTACTATCCTTAAAAATCGAATAAAAACCATTTAAGCTATAAAACTGTCCTACATAGGGGTTTACATTTTTTTTTGCACCAACTTTGAGAAGCTGAATCCTTAATTATTAAGATTTTTTGTCAAGCCTGGCTTAGTCTACGATAGTTTTTAATATTCCCTTTAAATCTTTAGATATCAGTGATTAATCAAATTTTAAACATAGTAATGCTCTTTTTAATACAAGTTTATGTATATCAGTCCATCCCTGAGTCAATACTTTATTCTAAAATAAATTACAATGATTTTGGTCAGTTAATTGTTTTGACTTATTTTTATTATTCTTGCTTGTTGATACAATATAACTGAAATAATTGTTATTGATAAGTATTTTAAACATAGGCTATATCTTATATTGTAAAAGTAAGGATTGATTTAAAATGTAATCATATCTTTTCTTCCGTTTTCCTTGATCAGATTAAGCTGTTACACAAATACAACACAATGTCGTGGATAGAATGGTGTATATTTCTGTCTTATCCATAAGTTGCAGTTTTGAGTCGTTCAGTGTCAACCAATGGGTGAGTTACTCGTGCCAGTGCCTCTTGCATCATCGTTTATTGCCTTTCTACATGCAATTCTGTCATGTTTGCATCCTTCGCTGCATAGTTTGTGCTGTAGTGTGTGTTGCTTTTGCCAAAAATAGTGTGTTTTGCATAAGTATTGTTAGTGGATTAGATTTTTGCACTTAGTAGAGGAACGGGTAAGTACTTAGAAGGGTTTTTAATTTATACAAGTATTTATTAGCGTAGGTAATCTTATTTGTATTGCTTATAGATAGTAGAAATGGTTTTGTGAAACATGATCATGTGTAAAATTTTATTTAGGTCTAGTACAAAAATTTTTTTAAATGAACTAATTTAAATGTACAGTGTATTAATTTACTGTTGCATTTTGGATGACAATGTGATGAAAAATAGACCAGAGAATAGATAAAAAATGTTTTCCTAGTTTTAAGACCCAGACAACTTTGAAAAAATATCCTACATTTTATGTTTTTTAAGCACCTTGTCTTAAGGACTGTACCTATGTAGGATGGATAAAGATTTTAAAAATAAAACTTTAGTATAGATGAATAACTTCTTACACCGAAGAATTTGAGTTTAGTCGATAGTTTAAACAACTTGAAATGAAAATACTTATTCATTAAGGCCGGCCTCAAGACCTCATTGTCCTTTTTCACAGCTTACCTCTTATACTGTCTTTCTGTTTTAATAAAGTATGTCAATCCAATAATAAAATATAATTTATCGTAAATACTTATGTTACGATAGCAGGCTTATCTGAATGGAATCAGTCCATTCCGGCACAAAAACACTGTACACAAAAATTAACACCTTTCACTATTACTGACAGAATTCAAACCGAGGAAGGTTTGAGTCGGAAGGTGAGAATCTTCAGGTCCAATGGTTTCCAATCCAATATCAGCTGTGTAGTTCTCACAGCAATCCCACTCTGCTTTTTTCAAAGATCCTATATATTAGTAAGCGACCCGTATTTTTCCGTGACAGTGGTGAGAGCGTTCTTCCACTGGAAGATTTGTGATAACACCACTGTCAAGGATAACGTCTTCCTGGCTACTTTTGTGTATAGTGTGAAGCATCATGTGTTTTCTGTGCCAAAGTGGGTTATTTTCCATTCACGTAAGCCTACTACCTCTCAAAAATCTTTTAAACTTAGGCTCCGTTGTACTCAATGTTACATCCTTATAATTTTAAATAGGTAGTTGACTTGTTACAAATAATCGTTTGGTTAGTTGGTCTCACAGTTTCCTAAACTTACAGTTAGCCTAGAGCGGTGGTGCAGACTGCGAGGTAACCTGCTGTTTTACTTCAAGACCCGAGACCAGTGGTCGGAGCCGCTGGGTGTAGTCGTGTTGGAACAGTGCTCCGTCAAGCTGGATCCCCCCGCCACCTCCAACACCACTGACGGCCCGTTTGGGTTCAGTCTAGGTATGCACAGTTACACACAGGGAGTCACAAAAATGCGTAGCGAGTTCTTCAGGACAAAACTTTACATACAAATATAAGTTGAAAATGTCATGTAAAATCTTTTATTTGGGCTTTGTCAAGCCGTAAGCTGCCGTTTTTCTGATAAAAAAATATATAACTAAAAACCATTTGGAGATATTTTTATGAATCTTGGTAGGGACTTTAATGTGTTTGTTGCTAAAAGTCTCCCATAATATTATTATTTAAGCTTTAGCCTATAAATTTAAAAAATGCAGTCCCTTGAAAATTGTATTTTCAAATTCCATAAAAACAATTAATTCAATAACAATTTTACTAATATTAATAAATTAGTTGTGATTTTTTAATGTTTAAATCCTAAAGACACTGTAAACAATCAAATAAGTTGGCATATTTTTTCAACGAATGTGTCTTCAATTTTCTGTGAGGGGAACCTGTCCCTCTTTTATGTCAAAGTCTGAGACACCAAGGTTTCAAAATACCCAAATATTGTGTTGCGATTTTAAAGATTGTTTGCATTCATTTGCTTACAGTTACATTCCTACATCGTAAGACTCTTTTTTTCAAATTTTACTATTGCTAAGATGATAAATAATACATTAGAGAAAATCACTATTTTTAATGTAGCAGAATTGATTATCCAATCATAGGTAATCTGACTTGCCTTGCAAAAGATCGAGTGCCAAGAAATGGCATGGTAGTTCTGTTAACCTTCGAAGTGAGTGAAACAGAAAGAACTTTAATTTAAGTGTTTTTCTAGGGTTGTTGGTTACAGAGAAAATTGTTCAAAAAACTTTAAATTAATTTAAATTTTATGGAGGGTAGGCCTTAGTAAACTGTTGTAGTTTGCTTTTTTATGGATATGATTTTGAAAAAACTTGGCAATTAATAATTTAGTATTTAATTTTTTATCAGTTATTTGTGTCAATGGATTAAAAATTAAAGACAGGACAAATTTAGGGATTTTTATGGAAAACAAGCCTTGCATAGGTTTGCAAATGGAGAATCTTTATCGACATGGTTTTTAACATTTTCACAATTGTTTGATAATTATTTTTTCGTTGCCATCAGTTTAGAATACATATTAAATCTCTAACCCCCTGTATGTTGTGGCAGTGTTTGAAGGAGGCCTGTCACAACACGTGGCTGCTCTGAGTCTGCAGGAGAGGGATCAGTGGTTGCAGGCCATCCAGCTGTCTAGCCACGAGTGTATGAGGACTCAGCTGCTAGCTCTGCAGCAGAGGTAACTACTGTACTAGACACACAACTCGTGACATCTAAGCTGGCGCTTGGCCTAGTGTGGGCAGTGTAGGCGGGAGGAGGGTGGAGGTAGGGAAAAGACTGGAAACATTTCAGCTGCCTCTAGGGGTTGACTCTCCTTGTATTATGTACTTGAGCGCCATCATATGGGTTGCAAGGACAGTTGATGCAACCCGCAAGATGGGACATAGTTTTTGAGCTAGATACTAGTAGCGATCGGCCAAGTGCCAGATTGTCACGAGCTGTAGGTAACATTGTAGATGTGAAGCTATGTAGTTATGGAGCTGTTTGTCAATTCAATTCAACTACGACCGTTCTTTTGCTGCAGTCAAAAACAGTACGTGTTTCTGTGTAGTGAGCCGTGACATGCCCACCAAGCGTCCCACCAATGTCACGCCTCAGTGTTTTTTGTATAGTGCGAGTGCTGGCTTTGCGCCGGAACTCGTTCAGTTTGGGTCTGGCAGCAGTCCTGCAGACCCCGGGGCAATTTTTCCGCTGTCGAGCACATTTTCGGCAGAAGGCGAGCGACTGTCAATTTAACCTGTCAAACTCTGTCGTTTTCTGAAGGCAAAATTTTCACTTCAGACTTTTACTTTATTTTCTACGTCAGCTAAATTTTTTGAAAGATTTTTAAATGAATTCTTTGGATGGCTGACATTGTTGATGATTGTTATTTGTTGAATTTTGATTAATTATAGGCTTTGTTGACAACTGTTTGTTTTTTTTATATTCACCCACGGCCTTTCATTTTTGTTAGGGATGTGGGGCGGCCACTCGCACTGCCACTATGGGGGGCATGCTTCCAATAGTTGTTCGTCTGGGGGCGGTGCGAGGGGTCGGCTCAGATGGTAGCAGAGCGTGGTTTTTTGTGCTCTATCCACGAAGGGCCGTGGTTGGATTTGATTTTTGGGTGATTCTGGTCTGGCAGTCTTAGGAATTTTTTGAAGAAAAGTTGTTGTGGTGGGGTAAGCACACTGTTGTAGTTTTTTATTAGGAGCTCGCCCTTGGCCGAGTCACCGGGTGGAATCTGGTTAATGACTTGTATCCTTTGGGAGCAAGAGTGTCAAAAGCATGGCCAAACCCAAAATTGAAACTGTGTGTGTGTGTTTACCTCATCACGCAAATGTTAGGTGTTGTTGTTTAGTGTATGTATGTTGTGTGTATGTCGTGAGTGTAAGTCCGTGTTTTTTGTTTTGGTGGCTAAGGCGGTGTGTATGGGCAGGTTCTTCTGTTTGGGACCTCATCTGACTGTAGGCATTTCAGTCCAGAGCCTTTAGTTAGTTAAGTTTGTGAATTGTTTGTTGTAAAATTTGTTTGTGTGGGTTTTGAAAGTAGGCCGACTGACTGAGAACAAAATGGGTTTGTTTGCTCCACTGCCCAATCCCATTGCTGGGGTTTTGAGCGACATTCGCCCAGTTGATGGTTTAGAGGTGGAACCTTTGTTAGAGTTTTTGGGAAAGGTGTTGCACCTGAAGGAGTTCCCAGGCATGGAGGACTCAGTAGTGTTGGAACTGCTGGTTCCACTCTGCCTGAGACCTCTTGGTGACAAATTGTTAGATTGTTTGAAACGGGGAGTAAATTTTGACAATTTTCACAGTGAAGTGCTTGAGCTCTTTGTCCCCTTCAGGGTCATGGAGAGATTGAAGGTTGAGAGAGTGTTTCGTCCTCAAAAATTTGATGAAACTCTCAGTCAGTATGTGGGTGACATTCGTGGCGTGTGGCGTGTCCTACGGCTGGGCATCCCTGAAAACCAACTGGTGGACATTGTCTTGCAGGGGTTGAAGCCTGAGGAGCGGTCCAGACTGATTTTTGCTCCGAAGCCTTCTTCTTTTGCAGACCTGGATAGGCTGGTCATCCTTTCACGGAGCGTTCAAGACGCTGATTTTCGGAGGGAGCATGTTCCGGGGCATCTTCCCCAGACTGTTCTCCATCCCGTTGTAGCTTCCGTGGGTCAAGGTCCTGAAACACCGCAGAGACAGAGGCATCCTATTGTTTGCTTTGGTTGTGGTCAACCAGGTCACATGAGACGAGAGTGTCGTCAGAGGGTTGATCTTGCGACTTTGTCCAAAAACCTGAGTAGCTCGCAAGGGGAAAGTTTGCCTAAACCGCCCTGTGAGAAAGCTGTTTTGGAGAAAGTCAGTAAGAATTTGGTTTCTCTGAGTACTGCCCCTTCTGGGAGTGCTGGTTTCGGGGAGCCTCTGTCGCGGGGAATGAGGGAGCTTGCATGCATGGGAGTGAAAGCGGCGCGCTCAACTTGCCCACGACTCAACATTTTCTTAGGTAAAACGGTGCAGAAGGCCCTTGTGGATTCTCATTCTTGTCTCATTTCCCTTTCCCTGTTTGAAAATCTAAAATCTTCTGGGCTAATCAAGCAAGTTGAGCGAAGTACCCACATCTGCTGGACTGCATCGAAATCCCCACTTCCAATCATCTATGAAGCCCGTTTGAAATTCAAGATTGAACATTTTTCTTGGGTGTGGAGTTTTTGGGTAGCCAAGGACCTTTGCATTCCTGTCATTTTGGGAGCGGATTTCATCAAGCATTGTGGCCTGATTTTGGATTTAGGCAGAGGCCAGTGCTTCTTTCGTTTCGCAAGACGGGTGCTCATTCCTTTTGCGGATGAAATTGTGGATGGTGCAGCTGTGATCGAGCCTGAGACACCCAGCAAACCAAAGGTTGATCTATTAGGGCATCTGACTCCTGGTGAGGCTGAAGCTATCAGAACTTTGTGTTCTCGTTTTCCTGAGGTGCTGACGCCAAAGCTTGGAGTCACCAATCTTTTGGAGTACGAAATCCGTTTGACTGACACCCGTCCCGTTCGTTCTCATCCTTACAAACTTGCTCCACCCAAGATGGATACACTCCGTGGAATCATCAATGAGCTTCTTGAAAATGGGGTAATTGAGCCTTCTCGCTCAAGTTACGCAAGTCCAGCTTTTCTAGTTCCAAAGCCAAATGGCAAGTCTCGAATGGTTCTAGATTATCGCAAGTTGAATGCTCAGATTGAAATTGACTCTGTCCCTCTCCCTGATTTGCACTCTGCGTTCGATTGGTTCGGTAAGGCCAAGTATTTTTCCGTCTTTGATTTGAACCAGGCTTACCATCAGATTCCCTTGAAACCTGAATCTCGACCTCTCACTGCCTTCTGCGTTCCGTGGAACTTGTACCAGTTCACACGTGTTCCCATGGGCCTAGCTGTGGGGGCCCAGACCCTCACCAGACTTCTGGACTCCATCTTTCATGACGTCAAGTTCAAATTTGTGTTCAACTATCTTGACGATCTTTTGGTGTACAGTGAGAGCTTTGAAGACCATCTGGTTCATCTTGAGGAAGTCATGAATAGGTTGCTTAGGGCTGGCCTTACCGTAAATCCCGAGAAAGTTAGTTTTGCTCAGGCTGAGATTTCTTTCCTAGGTCATCTAGTATCTTCACGAGGTGTCTGTATCGATCCGGCTAGAACCCAGGCTATCAGGGAGTTTCCTCCTCCCCGAGATGTCAAAGGCATTGCCCGTTTCATCGGCATGGTGGGTTTCTACCGGCGCTTCATCCCCAATGTGGCTGAGTTGGCGGCTCCGCTCAATGAGCTTCGGAAGAAGGGCACCAAGTTTGTTTGGGGTGAAGCACAACAGATGTCTTTTGATCTTCTGAAAGAAGCTATCATGCAACCTCCAGTTTTGGCGATGCCAGATTTCAGTCAAAAGTTTGTTTTGCAAACCGATGCTTCCTCCGTTGCTATTGCGGCTGTGTTGTCTCAAGAGGTAGATGGTGTTAGGCAGCCAATTGCGTATGCCTCACGCACTTTGAACCCATGCGAAAAGAAAAGCTCTTCTGTGTATGAGTTAGAGTGTTTGGCTGTCGTGTTTGGAGTGAATAAGTTCAGACGTTTTTTGGAACACAAAGAGTTTTTGCTGGAAACCGACAACCAAGCGCTCTCGTGGCTCCTTGCACATCCTCGCCAGCTTGGGAAAATTGGTCGTTGGGTGGTCCAAATATCTTCCCTCAAATTCCAAGTGCAACATGTTCGAGGCACGCAGAATGTGATTGCTGACACTTTATCCAGGATGTACCATTCACCTGACGACCAACCTTCTGATCAGGAGGAGCACACAGGGTGTGCCGTGCTCCTGGAGTTTCCCCTCGCCTTTTCTGAGTTCATCCCACATCAGCTAAAAGATCCCGAGCTGGCTAAGATCATTGGTGAGCTTCAAAACGGGGGAGCCCACCCCCCGTATTTTCTGTCCCAGGGTGCCCTTTGTTGTCGAGACCGACAGCGGGGTAAACCCAAGGTTGTGCTGCCTAGTCTTCTTGTACCCATGGTCTTTGCGTACTTTCACTCTTCCCCTGTGGGTGGGCACTTAGGGATTCACAAGACCATTGCGAAGGTTAGGGAAATGTTCATCTGGAAGGGTATGGACAGGGACATTGCGGCACGAGTACGTTCTTGTCAAACATGCTCGCTAAGCAAGCCTGCTCAGAATACCAAGTATGAGTTGTTGTCATCTGAGGTGGCGGAGAGACCTTTGGAGAAGGTTTTCATAGACTATGTAGGGCCTCTCCCACGTAGCAAGTCAGGAAACAAATTCTTGCTTGTTTGTGTGGATGCCTTCTCCAAGTTTTGTTGGCTTTTTCCTTTGAGGAACGCCACTGCACAGCTCACCGTGCAGGCACTTCGTACCCATTTGTTCCAACACTTTGGAATACCCGCCACCATTGTTTCCGACAACGGAACTCAGTTCGTGTCTCACCTTTTCAAGAGAATGTGCTTTGGGCACGGTATCCGCCATGTGACCACTTCTCCTTACTATCCACAGCCTTCCCATGCTGAGAGGTTCAACAGAAATCTTCGATCCGCTCTCATAGCTTTTCATGCTGACAAGCAGACCACCTGGGATCAGGAACTTCCTTGGATTCAATTTGCTTTCAATACTGCACACCATGAGAGTCACAAGGCGGTCCCTTTCGAGCTGTTGTTGGGCTATCCACCCAATAATCCTTTGGCAAATGTGTGGAAAATTGGCGACCTTCTGCCACCCCCTGGTGCTGCCAATGTCAAGGCAACTTGGCAGGCGGCTAGGAGGAACTTGATCCGAGCTAGGGAATTGGTCCGGAGGAAGCACAATCGAGGTCGGTTGGACAATCCTTTCCAGGTGGGGGATTTGGTTTTCTGCAAGGCTCATCCGGTCAGTTCGGCCGTGGACAAGAGAGCCGCTAAGTTGTCTCATCGGTGGTCAGGTCCCCACCGCATCTTGAAGTTCTTGACTCCTGTCTCCGTGCGGCTGGGAGATCCGCAGACTGGAGAAGTTTTCCGGAGGGCTCACATTTCTCATCTGAAGCCTTTCCGGGGAACAATTCCGTAGGTCATCTTTCATTACTCTTGTGTCTGAGTGGGAAGTGCACTGGGCCAGAGAGCTTGATCACCTCTTCTGTCCCTTGTGCGCTGCTGAAGATTTTTCCCTAGTACATTTTCCAGCACTGGCCAGTGCAAACCCTGGGGGTGAGTAGTCCCTCCAGTTGAAAGTTTTTGGCGTTCCCCACTTCAGACACTTGAGTTGATCTGTGGGGTTGAGATCTTCTAGAATTGGGAGAGGTTGTTTTCTTTCTTTTCTTGAGAGGAAGTCCTCCTTTGGGGGGGGAGGTTGAGCCGTGACATGCCCACCAAGCGTCCCACCAATGTCACGCCTCAGTGTTTTTTGTATAGTGCGAGTGCTGGCTTTGCGCCGGAACTCGTTCAGTTTGGGTCTGGCAGCAGTCCTGCAGACCCCGGGGCAATTTTTCCGCTGTCGAGCACATTTTCGGCAGAAGGCGAGCGACTGTCAATTTAACCTGTCAAACTCTGTCGTTTTCTGAAGGCAAAATTTTCACTTCAGACTTTTACTTTATTTTCTACGTCAGCTAAATTTTTTGAAAGATTTTTAAATGAATTCTTTGGATGGCTGACATTGTTGATGATTGTTATTTGTTGAATTTTGATTAATTATAGGCTTTGTTGACAACTGTTTGTTTTTTTTATATTCACCCACGGCCTTTCATTTTTGTTAGGGATGTGGGGCGGCCACTCGCACTGCCACTATGGGGGGCATGCTTCCAATAGTTGTTCGTCTGGGGGCGGTGCGAGGGGTCGGCTCAGACCACCAATGTCCCACCAATGTCACGCCTCAGTGTTTTTTGTATAGTGCGAGTGCTGGCTTTGCGCCGGAACTCAGTCGGTTTGGGTCGGGCAGCAACTCATCTGAGCGGAAAAATTGCCCCGGGGTCTGCAGGACTGCTGCCAGACCCAAACTGAACGAGTTCCGGCGCAAAGCCAGCACTCGCACTATACAAAAAACACTGAGGCGTGACATTGGTGGGACGCTTGGTGGGCATGTCACGGCTCAACAGGTATAATATATTTTCAAGCTATTATAATTGTTGTTTCCGAATTAAGCTTTAAAAAACCATATTATTATATTCTGCGCTCTCATTCCATTGTGAAGCACAAATAAAGGAACACTAGTTGCCTACTCTATGGCAAATGATGAGTCTGTGGGTCGGTAGCACCACAGACTTGGGACTCAAGGCGGCAATGTCGTAGGTTCGTCTTATGTTACATGCCACTACTTTTCTATCAGTTCACTTCACCCTTGTACCAGCTCACCCTTTGTTTTGCTATACATTCTACGCGCAGGTCTATAACTTATGTGGACAGGCATATGCAAGATTTTTCAAACATTGTAGTGTTTACAAGTTTTAATTCATAACATTGCAGGTTGGAGACTCGTAGAGGTCAAGACCCGGACCTGGATATCCAGATGTGGCGGTTACGTCGGAACCAGACTCTAGGTAAATAGTGTTCAGTTATATTCTAAATAAAACCGCAAAACTACCAAAAATTGTTAACTATTGTTCTATAAACCATCTTTGCTACTCCAGTTTTCTTTTTGGCTGTATTGCAAAAACTCTTCATACTGACCCAACCGTAGTATTTCCACTGAAGTATGACATTAAAAATTGTTGGTTGTTAATCAGTATTATTTTCCAAAAGCATTCAATTTTACTTAATATTTACAAAATGAGTTTGTCTCAGTCGGCTAAAATGTTACATCCTGAAAGTTTTTGAATTGTAAATACAGAATGTGACTATACTTTTTCTCCATCTTGCCCACAGCTGAGAACACTGAAGTTAATTCAGTTAGAATTTAAACTGACATTTCTCTTTAATGTCAGATGTGTGTTATTCCTATATCAGGACAAATTATAAGTCTTATGATATGTGACTTTTTAATTTGTATCTATAAGTTTCTGCGCTTAGGTAAACTAGCTAATGGCTTAGTAAAGCTCTTCAGAAAAAAATCCTTTGTCAGCCACTTGACTTTCCTCTCAAAATATTCTAAAATTTTTTTTAAATACTGTCTATCTAGTCATAGTTTTGAATTTGTGTGGCAATTTATTCGGATCAAAGATATAGCCTATTTATTTTGAAAATAAGCCTTTTTTAAGTTATGATTGCCCTGATACCTCATGATATTTTTATGCATGTTGGCTCACAGATGATATACCGTGTGTTGTAGACCCGTGTGAGTTGCCGCTGTGTGAGGTATCTCTCTCGTGTGACAACCTACTGTGTGACGGCCATGGCCGTCCTCCCAACCCTGTACTGCTGGTGCATGTGTACATTCCTGAGGAGAGGGTACTACTCAAGTACGCCAAGACCGAGGTCATAGAGGTAACGTCTCATTGCTTCCCTCATTGCTCATTGCTCTTTGCTTTAAATCCCCTCGACAATTGAATTTAACTTGCTTAACCGTTGTTGATTTGTCTATACAGAAAAGCAGCAATCCCAGTTTCCTGAACACCGTAAGTTTCCGCTCCAGTGATGGCCTCAACGCGAGCTCCAAGGTGAGACTGACTGTGTATGATGTGAGAGAGCCTGTGTCTCAGACAGCCACTCCCCTAGGTAGTGCCTGTATCACACTAGGCACACTACAGGACTGCGAGAGACTCAGGTACATAGACTACATTGTACAGAGTAGCCATAGGCTGGGGAGTCCTGGAATTATGCATCAATTTTGATATATCACCAAGAAAATCTTGACTTATTTTAGTGCGATTTTGTTGTGATTGATTTAATACCGTTTTTTAGTGTTTAACAGCCAGCGACCACCATATTTAGTTGTGTAAACAAAATGCTCATGAAACTCGGGTTAGTGCATGAAAACCTCGACTGTTAAATTTATTGTGAACATCACCTGCGTTCACTGCAAAATCATATTCTGTGGTCATAGTACAATAAAAAACAACTCCTGTTGTCATGGCAAGATTGAGAACTTCTTCAGCTATAACAGCAAAATGTGAACATTATCTGCGGTCATAGTATAATCGAGGACATCTTCTGGTGAACATTTCCCGCAGTCCTGGTCATGACAGAGGATGTCTTCCGTGATCATGGTCAAATTAATGACCTAACTGAAGGTAGGCCATAGAACAGATAGAAGACACAAACAAATACCCAATATTTCCCTAGAGGCCTTGGGGAAATCGAGAACAGCTTTTGCGGTCATGGCGTAGTCGTGACCATCTTCCTGGGTCACAGCGTCATCATTGTCTCCCATAATTGTGGCAAAATCGTGAACACCAACTGCAATCATGAAGAAAATTAGTAATAATTTTTAATCATGTTTCTTTGCAAATAATGCTTAACACAATGATAAAAAAAGAGAGTAATAGCAAAATGAATAAATGGATGCAGAACTGAAAAACAAATCAAGCATTCTACCTGAGCCAGCCCACTGTTAATTTTAGATTGGCTTCCTCCATCAGACTTCTGCTTTTAACCTTAGAAATTACAGGTGTTTGAAACAAATCCCCTCTTTTTTAATGTTTCTACATTTCTCTTTCTTTTGTTAGCAGGAAGATTATTTCATCAGTTGTATCTCTAAGATAGGATGATTTTTAGGTACATTTATAGTGTATACTATGTTCATTATGTGTGCAGGATACCTCTCAAGTCCTGTGCTGGGACAACTGTGGGATTCCTGAGTCTTCTGGTCTGGGCGCTGGAGAGAGAAGACCAGGGAACTCCTAGCACTGAGTCTACGCCCTGTAGGACGGCCAGCATAGATACTGCAGCGGTGAGTCAGTGTGTCGTTAAAAGAATAACCTAACTGAAGGATAACAGATAGCTTATGTTAGAAAAAGTACAGGTAGACCATAGATCAGAGAAAATGACACAGAGAATACCCAATATTTCCCTAAGGTACATATTATTATGGAGTTTCTTCTTTTTTTCTTTTTGTTCCTTGGCCTAACTATTTTTTTTCTAAAGGGACTAATAGAAGGAGGAAGTAAAAACGACAAGTTTTTTTTATATAAATACTTGCCAGACTCACTGCATACTTACCTTGTCTATAGAGTTACTTTCTGTAGTGAGTATTCAGTAATTACTTGTTAGTATTCAGTAATTTCAGATAACAAGTAAGGGTGCGGCAGAAAGAACTCCCCTATTAGGAAAGCTAATAAAAACAAAACCAAGTAAGATATGACATTTTTATTGCTATTAACCAAAAACACACATTATGCCATTTTAAAAAATATAAAATTATAGTGCTTTAAATAAAATGTTGTTTTAATAATCGATAATTTAAAATTATCGTGTTTTAAATAAAATGTCATTTAAATGGCGGCCTCCAGTGTTAACACATTGGTTCAAACGTTCCCGGTAGTTGTCCATTACCTTTCGGGTCATGTCGGGTGAGATGGCTGCAACTTTAGATAGCCCCACAAAAAAAGTCACACGGGCTCAAGTCTGGCAATCGCGGTGGCCATTCGATGTCACCGCGCATTGAAATGACATGGCCAGGAAACATTTCCTTGACCAATGTCAATGATTGACGGGACGTGTGTGAAGTAGCACCATCCTGCTGGAACCATACATTCGCCAGAACAGGAAAGATATCAGCGAGTTTTGGCTGCAAAAAAGTACGGAGCATCGCACAATAACGATTGCTGTTCACAGTCACAGTCGCGCCATTTTCTTCAAAAAAGTACGGCCCAATTATAGCCCTCAAAGTTTGGAAGCCCTGAAGGAAAGAATAAGGCATGAAGTTGCAGCCATCTCACCCGACAAGACCCGAAAGGTAATGGACAACTACCGGGAACGTTTGAACCAATGTGTTAATACTGGAGGCCGCCATTTAAATGACATTTTATTTAAAACACGATAATTTTAAATTATCGATTATTAAAACGACATTTTATTTAAAGCACTATAATTTTATATTTTTTTAAATGGCATAATGTGTGTTTTTGGTTAATATCAATAAAAATGTCATATCTTACTTGGTTTTGTTTTTATTAGCTTTCCTAATAGGGGAGTTCTTTCTGCCGCACCCTTTACTTGCAACCAGCAACTTGCTGTCTACTTCCCCCATGTATAAGCCACTTAAGTTGAGCTAGCTACTATTTCTATTCTACTAATCAAAATCCTGACCTAGAGCCTCCCTTGAACAAAAAATTTTCCAAGTGGTTGGTAAGTGTGAAAGTTGAATGAAAACCCCTGAGTAAGTGTACTGAAAAACAACAGTATATCGCAGGAAAAAATTGTGATACCTACCACTGAAACATTTGAATCACTATTTATTTAGCAGGATTTCCAAACCAACAGGATTAACAAGTGTCCATTGTATACTTATTTCCCAAATAGAAAAAAAGGTGGTGACTTCCTACATAAACCATTTCCACCTCGGAATAGAGTTGGATTTAGTGCAGGATTCAACTTATGAACACACGTTTCTGTGTTTTTCCAGATCCATTGTCACCGCAGGTCGCAGTCGCTGCCACCCAGGCTGGGCTCCAAGCTAAAGTTACCTCACCAAGGACAGCTGCGGCTGTTGTTTGCCAACCCCACAGTCCAGACATACAGGTTCCACTCTGGGCTGGGTGGTGACATCAGTGTACATGAGGTCATGGCAGAGAGTCGTCTGTGCTTCACCTTCCCTCAGCAACTGTTGTAAGTATTTGTAGTAGAAGCTACCTCACCAGGGACAGCTGCGGCTGTTGTTTGCCAACCCCACAGTCCAGACATACAGGTTCCACTCTGGGCTGGGTGGTGACATCAGTGTACATGAGGTCATGGCAGAGAGTCGTCTGTGCTTCACCTTCCCTCAGCAACTGTTGTAAGTATTTGTAGTAGAAGCTACCTCACCAGGGACAGCTGCGGCTGTTGTTTGCCAACCCCACAGTCCAGACGTACAGGTTCCACTCTGGGCTGGGAGGTGACATCAGTGTACATGAGGTCATGGCAGAGAGTCGTCTGTGCTTCACCTTCCCTCAGCAACTGTTGTAAGTATTTGTAGTTGAAGTTACCTCACCAGGGACAGCTGCGGCTGTTGTTTGCCAACCCCACAGTCCAGACATACAGGTTCCACTCTGGGCTGGGTGGTGACATCAGTGTACATGAGGTCATGGCAGAGAGTCGTCTGTGCTTCACCTTCCCTCAGCAACTGTTGTAAGTATTTGTAGTAGAAGCTACCTCACCAGGGACAGCTGCGGCTGTTGTTTGCCAACCCCACAGTCCAGACGTACAGGTTCCACTCTGGGCTGGGAGGTGACATCAGTGTACATGAGGTCATGGCAGAGAGTCGTCTGTGCTTCACCTTCCCTCAGCAACTGTTGTAAGTATTTGTAGTTGAAGTTACCTCACCAGGGACAGCTGCGGCTGTTGTTTGCCAACCCCACAGTCCAGACATACAGGTTCCACTCTGGGCTGGGAGGTGACATCAGTGTACATGAGGTCATGGCAGAGAGTCGTCTGTGCTTCACCTTCCCTCAGCAACAACTGTTGTAAGTATTTGTAGTTGAAGTTACCTCACCAGGGACAGCTGCGGCTGTTGTTTGCCAACCCCACAGTCCAGACATACAGGTTCCACTCTGGGCTGGGAGGTGACATCAGTGTACATGAGGTCATGGCAGAGAGTTGTCTGTGCTTCACCTTCCCTCAGCAACAACTGTTGTAAGTATTTGTAGTTGAAGCTACCTCACCAGGGACAGCTGCGGCTGTTGTTTGCCAACCCCACAGTCCAGACATACAGGTTCCACTCTGGGCTGGGAGGTGACATCAGTGTACATGAGGTCATGGCAGAGAGTCGGCTGTGCTTCACCTTCCCTCAGCAACTGTTGTAAGTATTTGTAGTTGAAGTTACCTCACCAGGGACAGCTGCGGCTGTTGTTTGCCAACCCCACAGTCCAGACGTACAGGTTCCACTCTGGGCTGGGAGGTGACATCAGTGTACATGAGGTCATGGCAGAGAGTCGTCTGTGCTTCACCTTCCCTCAGCAACTGTTGTAAGTATTTGTAGTTGAAGTTACCTCACCAGGGACAGCTGCGGCTGTTGTTTGCCAACCCCACAGTCCAGACATACAGGTTCCACTCTGGGCTGGGAGGTGACATCAGTGTACATGAGGTCATGGCAGAGAGTCGGCTGTGCTTCACCTTCCCTCAGCAACTGTTGTAAGTATTTGATCAGGAATTCCCATATTGTTTTTGTAAGCATAACAGAGCACCACCAGCCTGCTAGGCTTTAGGTGAACTGGAAATAATTGTGGTGGTGAATCAGACTGTGGTTGTTGAATGCATCCGCTTATGGGTTTGCTATGACTACTGCCACTCACTTGTGTGTACCTTTTAATCCAACATCCACTACCTCAGCCTGCAATGCCGCTGAAATATCCAATATCGCTGCCGATTATAGTGACAGTATGCAGATGTGGCTATAAAAATCTCTGAATATCAATATCTAGTGGACTTGCTGTTTTATCTTAATTGACAGATACTGTGTTTGTTTGTCAGAGCTGTGTGGATCCAAGAGGAGAAGGAGTTGCTACAAGAGGTGGCTGGTATGGGAGAGTTGGTAGAGCCTTGGCACTCCAAGCAGGTTCAACTGCTGGACAGACATCTCCATCTGTTACATCTTTACTCCCAGGCTAGTGAAAACCTCGCTGCGCACAAAGGTAATGCCTTGTTATTTTTTTGTAGTTCTAAGTACATAAACACTCAATTTTTGTTATAGACTGGGTAGCTGTGTGGTTAGGTAAATATAGTGCTTGCAAATATCACAAGGTCGCAGGTTCGATCCTGAGAAAAACCATTAACTTTTTCATTTTTTGTAAGTGAACAAAGACAAGAGTCAAGTTCTGTTAACTGCTGTAATTGTGTTCGCTCGGCCTGAAGATGGCCAACTGTTAATGTGGTCGAAACGTCGGTAGTTTCTGTATATAGCCCAGTTACGTGGTCGAAGACCAAGATTGTGTAAACATGAGGGACAACCGTGGAAGCCTATCTATGAAGTGAACGAAGACATTTACTTCTTGTAACCATGATAATCTTAGTTAAACGTTAAGGTTAAACTTTACCAACCATTGATGTGCTTAAAATATACCTGTTAATTTTGTTCTTTATTTTGTCATTGTCTGGAAAACTGTTTCACAAATTTTACCAACAGCACAATTGAAGAAAATGTTATCTGATTTGTGCAGGAGGCTTCTTCAAGCCAAGCTCTCGCAAGAACGACCGTTCTCTGGAGTTTGCGCCGGTGAACCTCCACCTGCAGAGAATGTGGGTGCAGAACGATACGCTGAAGAAGTGCGACTTCTACGATGTTGTTACTGTCGGTGCTTTCACTGCTCACTCGCACAAGAATAAGAATGGAGGACTTATCAAGTCAGTATAACGTTTGGAATGGTTGTTTATGAGTATGTAGTATACAAACTAACTGTATCTTACTTCTTATACTTTTTATGAGGTTGAAATGAAAACAAAATTGTAAATACTTAAGGATGAGAAAGGTTTTTGACCACTATTTTATTTTATTACATTAAAGTTGTTCGTTATAAGCTATTTTTCAGATTTTAATTTTAGATTTGAGTTCAAACACCATCAAAATTTGTATCTACCTTGATTAACCTCAATAATTGATGTTGAAGATCTTGATAGCAGTTGTATTAATAGTCAAAGGTAGTAAACATTACTGTACCATATTGTATGTTTTATTGAAGCTGATTTGTCAGAAGTTAAATACTTGGGTTTTTTTCTATGTAAGGTTCAATATATTTTTAAAATTAAGGAAGAAGGTATAGAAACACATTCAACTCACACTCTGAAAAACTAACCTTAAATTAAGTTCTGCTAATAATTAGAATTGTTTACAGGTTACTACAGCAGATAAAAGAATCACCAATGAGAAGCCACAACTCTTCCCCGGGTATTGACAAAATCACTGTTGCGTCCGATGCAATCCAGGTTTGTCCTAGATGCTTTAAACTTCTTTTAACTTAATACAATAAGTAGCCTTCCCAATACCAATAGCATATACTTATAATGTGTTCAACGTGTGCTTTCCTGTGATTTTTTGTATAAAATACTACACATGACTGATATCTGGCCTTAGTAAAATCCCGCATTTAACAGATATGATGGACCCACATTAAATGCATATTTTACAGACAAACCTCCAATTTACCTACGGTGCCAAATCAAATACCTAATATAAAGCTAAACCTGCAACTTTTAAAATAGTTTATTTTGGCATACTGATTAAAAATACAATAAAACTAGACGTTCTATCCCCATGTTAAAGTTGTCGCTAGTTTTAAAATCAAAATCGAAGTTGATGTTAGCCACCGACAGCTTGTGCTGATTTAAATTACTTCTGTTGAATCCACAATAGTTTTTTACCAATTCAAAGTGTTGGATCGACTTATTATGTGCTATAGCAACTGTTGTGACTCATCAACTATGTCAGCAACAAAAAAATTAGATAGAAAATTTGAATTTTAGACACTAGCACATTCTGTGACTGGCTTAAACAACTATGTTCTTTTTTAATACAAAATTGGTGACAGCTGGTCCATATGGATGAGTTGTCTAAATTACACTTACCAACAGTGGTTTAACTCTTGTCAGTTTACAAGTGAAGGTTTTTTCTTACAGGCCATCAAGCAGCTTCGCAGGGAGGTCGTGGAGGCCATGCGTTCTCTGATGAGGCTTGCTAAAGACAAACAAACACTTGGTATGCTGCCCATCTGCGAGGACATGATCTCTAAGGTACGACAATCTTTCTTTTTATGACTGATAAGAAATATTTTGATGTATCTTGTTAAAAACTCAAATGTTCATTATGTAAGCTGAAAATTTAGTTGAACCATGGTCATTTCATTCATGACGAGAAATCGTCGCTATCAACTCTTCCACCACATGCAATACAGTAGAACCCCTCATATCCGGCCACCACGGGACCAAGCCCCTGGCCGGATAAACCAACCTACTACAAAAATGAAAATGATTCATACCTATAATAATATTTAATCAAAACATGCTGTCAAAAGTATCATTTAAGTCTATTCTAGGATTATTTTTTGAAGAATTAACATGTTTGTACAAATAAAAAAAATTATTTGTAGGCTAAAGTTGTTAAAAAAACCTGAAATTAAGATTTCAGGTAACAAAAACTATTAAACAATGGAGGTAAAAGTTACATTAAATCAGCCTTGAAGATTTTTAGGACCTTAATAGTAAATACAATTCTACTCAACTTTCTTATCCTTTTTGTGAAATAAATACAAAGATTAATTTCCCAACTCCCAACTTTTTAGAGGTTAGGCCTAGTTCAACTGAGTTTAGTGACACAGTAAAATGTATTGAAACAAACAGATAAAAAGTTCAGATAAATAGTTTAGCTCAAACAAGTCGCAAAGACTAGTGCTTGCATCTAAACGTCTGTAAGCTTTGAGAAAAACATTTTGATATTGGCTTCCTGGAAGTGGCCGGATAAACAGAGGACCGGAAAAACCAAGGCCGGATATCAGGGGTTCTATTGTAGCTCTGTGACTAAACCAAACGACAAAACCAATTGCTACTTGACTATTGTGTATATTTAAAAAATATATTTATCAGCAAATTGTATGCAGCAGATAAGTATGTTGATAATCATGTCTTTCACAAAATCCTATATTAAATATCAATAGGAATACTTGAACCTGGTAAACCCCCTCAAAAATATTTTTACATTATTTCAACCAACAATATATTTATATTTCATATTTTACATTATATTTATATTTGTTGGTGAGGCCAAGTACCACTTGGGGTACAAATGGCCATGGGAGTAATTAAGTAAGTATTTCAACCAACGTGGGTACATAATAGTTACAAAAGGGGCTCTATGGTATACAACAGCCTCTGAATACCCCACTAAGCATTCCTCAGATTTTTACATGTTACTAACTAGATTTTCACATCTCTAGACTCGCACCCTGTTAACCCTGTGGGACCCAGGGCTGGTAGAAGAAGCTCTATCCTTTGTTGAGAAGCACAAGATGGGAGTGGTGTCTCTGGATGTGGTAGGATGCAACAATGGGATAGAAGAGAGTCTTACTCTCTCCCCCTTCCGTCGCATCACACAGCAGCTGAGTTTCAACGAGCTCAAGTCGCCCGATTATGACGAACTCATCACACCCGACAGCCCGAGGTGTCTCAAGGTTAGTAGAACAATTTGATTTTTCACAGTCACTTAGAGAATTTTTTACAAAAGAAGGTTTGAGTTGTAGATGGATATGTCTTCAGGTTTACTGGTTGACAGTTTTTTTGCTACAATTGCAGAGTAAAATAGCGCTTTAGACAGTGCAAATGTTTGGGTGTTTTCTCTGTTTTGTCAAGAAAGTATATCAACTGTATGCTTTCGGCTTCTTCAGTTTTGTGCTAGCCAAGTCTTTCATCGAAAAGCCAAATTCCAAAAACTATTGTTTACTGCTCGTGTCCGATTTGTCGACGTTTTCAATTTTTTATTGTCTTCTGTATTTATACAGATTTTTTTGTTTATTCAGGGTTTTTGGGGAGACTTGCATCCAAAGACATCAACACATAGAGAGCCGAGTGAGAATCAGTTTGTGATTTTCCCTGATGCTGAAGAGGATGTGGAAAAAGACGATAAGTCCATCGACGAAAACTCTAACGTAGCGAATCTGGAGATGAAACCTCTGGAGACTGAAGAAGAAGAAGAAGACGAGGAAGAAGATGATGGTAGTCTCCCATCAATGTCAAGTGGAAATGACTGTGATGTGGGAAAAAGGTTAGTAGATAAAGTGCTACATTCCTTATCAAAACTTCTTGTAGACGCATCTTACAAAAAATCTATGGGGAAGTGATGTACTCCCAGCTATGCATTGTCACACTTTGATTTGTGTGAAATGACTGTTAGATGTTCTAGTTGAAGTATGGGTTTCCTTACTCTCCCTATCAACCATAGCCCAAGGGAATTATATTACTTTATTTCCTTGTAGAAACCAGTGTTATAGACACCCATGTTGCAGGTTCCTAGACACCCATGTGATGAGTAGCTCTCCATCTGCCAACTACTACAAGCCTACAGATGAGCCTGAACCTTGGGATCTGACACAGCTCAACATAGAAGCCAGTGTTATGTATGTTATAGACACCCATGTTGCAGGTTCCTAGACACCCATGTGATGAGTAGCTCTCCATCTGCCAACTACTACAAGCCTGCAGATGAGCCTGAACCTTGGGATCTGACACAGCTCAACATAGAAGCCAGTGTTATGTATGTTATAGACACCCATGTTGCAGGTTCCTAGACACCCATGTGATGAGTAGTTCTCCATCTGCCAACTACTACAAGCCTACAGATGAGCCTGAACCTTGGGATCTGACACAGCTCAACATAGAAGCCAGTGTTATGTATGTTATAGACACCCATGTTGCAGGTTCCTAGACACCCATGTGATGAGTAGTTCTCCATCTGCCAACTACTACAAGCCTACAGATGAGCCTGAACCTTGGGATCTGACACAGCTCAACATAGAAGCCAGTGTTATGTATGTTATAGACACCCATGTTGCAGGTTCCTAGACACCCATGTGATGAGTAGCTCTCCATCTGCCAACTACTACAAGCCTACAGATGAGCCTGAACCTTGGGATCTGACACAGCTCAACATAGAAGCCAGTGTTATGTATGTTATAGACACCCATGTTGCAGGTTCCTAGACACCCATGTGATGAGTAGTTCTCCATCTGCCAACTACTACAAGCCTACAGATGAGCCTGAACCTTGGGATCTGACACAGCTCAACATAGAAGCCAGTGTTATGTATGTTATAGACACCCATGTTGCAGGTTCCTAGACACCCATGTGATGAGTAGCTCTCCATCTGCTAACTACTACAAGCCTACAGATGAGCCTGAACCTTGGGATCTGACACAGCTCAACATAGAAGCCAGTGTTATGTATGTTATAGACACCCATGTTGTAGGTTCCTAGACACCCATGTGATGAGTAGTTCTCCATCTGCCAACTACTACAAGCCTACAGATGAGCCTGAACCTTGGGATCTGACACAGCTCAACATAGAAGCCAGTGTTATGTATGTTATAGACACCCATGTTGCAGGTTCCTAGACACCCATGTGATGAGTAGCTCTCCATCTGCTAACTACTACAAGCCTACAGATGAGCCTGAACCTTGGGATCTGACACAGCTCAACATAGAAGCCAGTGTTATGTATGTTATAGACACCCATGTTGCAGGTTCCTAGACACCCATGTGATGAGTAGCTCTCCATCTGCCAACTACTACAAGCCTACAGATGAGCCTGAACCTTGGGATCTGACACAGCTCAACATAGAAGCCAGTGTTATGTATGTTATAGACACCCATGTTGCAGGTTCCTAGACACCCATGTGATGAGTAGTTCTCCATCTGCCAACTACTACAAGCCTACAGATGAGCCTGAACCTTGGGATCTGACACAGCTCAACATAGAAACCAGTGTTATGTATGTTATAGACACCCATGTTGCAGGTTCCTAGACACCCATGTGATGAGTAGCTCTCCATCTGCTAACTACTACAAGCCTACAGATGAACCTGAACCTTGGGATCTGACACAGCTCAACATAGAAGCCAGTGTTATGTGCCTTGTCAGCAAAGTCAAGTTTCTATGTGGAAGGTGTGGATCACCAGCTGTTAGGCTCAGGTGAGAAATTGTAGTGATCTCACAAAAACTAAAATTCAACAGTCAATTCAGTCGTTCAAATTTTAATGATGGCTTGAACTTTGTTGCATATGCAGCAATTTTCATCTAGGTTATTTCTTGCAGGAATCAGAGGGGGATGGGCCGCTCCAAGAGTTTCCGCAGCGAACTCTCAGCACAACAAGAAGTGGTTACATCTCAGCCGACTAGTGTAGGAGTGAACGGTAACGGTGCAATTGTGAACCAACCGAGGACTAATGGTCCGAAACGGACTAACAGTGACGATGCGCTCAACAAAGCCGTGGACTGTGCAAACATTGTGCGCAACAAGTTTACCGAAGGACTGGACTTTGCGACTATCACGGACTGGACAACAGAACTGCGACCAAGCATGAGGAAGCTGCGGCAAGCCATGGACGGTCTGCTGAAGACCGCGCGGCTAACGCACAGTGTGTTCCGCGTACAGGAGGACCGAAGGACTGCACAGAAGGCTTGTAACGTTCGGTACAGGCGGCATGTCTGCTTCTCTCAGGCAGTAAGTAGAATATGTATTTTTTTGAAATTAATAAGCTTAAAAAAACACCTGGAATAATTAGTAGGGCTGTTATTCGATGTTTTACAGCTCAAGGTAAATTATATTCAATCGTTCCTATTTGGGTCCAAGACATATTAAATTTTGTATTGCATAGTCAATACACTTTGGACAGATCTGTAAGAAACTTAGCTTTTCATGTGTACTTTCAAATATTATCAGTCTTGTTAGAGGGATACCTCAGCTACTACGGTGATGATACTGACTGTGAAATGTTTGTTACAGTTGTCTGCCCTGGTGACTGCACTGATGGCCAAGCTGTGGTGTCAGAAGCCTGACCCAGTGTTTTTGCTGATCCTGAGCACTGTAGGGCCACTGGTGTCGTTTGAGGGACTCCTCAGCTACTACGGTGATGATACTGACAGTGAGATGTTTGTTACAGTTGACTACCCTGGTGACTGCACTGATGGCCAAGCTGTGGTGTCAGAAGCCTGACCCAGTGTTTTTGCTGATCCTGAGCACTGTAGGACCACTGGTGTAGTTTGAGGGACTCCTCAGCTACTACGGTGATGATACTGACAGTGAGATGTTTGTTACAGTTGACTACTCTGGTGACTGCACTGATGGCCAAGCTGTGGTGTCAGAAGCCTGACCCAGTGTTTTTGCTGATCCTGAGCACTGTAGGACCACTGGTGTAGTTTGAGGGACTCCTCAGCTACTACGGTGATGATACTGACAGTGAGATGTTTGTTACAGTTGACTACCCTGGTGACTGCACTGATGGCCAAGCTGTGGTGTCAGAAGCCTGACCCAGTGTTTTTGCTGATCCTGAGCACTGTAGGACCACTGGTGTAGTTTGAGGGACTCCTCAGCTACTACGGTGATGATACTGACAGTGAGATGTTTGTTACAGTTGACTACTCTGGTGACTGCACTGATGGCCAAGCTGTGGTGTCAGAAGCCTGACCCAGTGTTTTTGCTGATCCTGAGCACTGTAGGACCACTGGTGTAGTTTGAGGGACTCCTCAGCTACTACGGTGATGATACTGACTGTGAAATGTTTGTTACAGTTGACTGCCTTGGTGACTGCACTGATGGCCAAGCTGTGGTGTCAGAAGCCTGACCCAGTGTTTTTGCTGATCCTGAGCACTGTAGGGCCCTTGGTGTCGTTTGAGGGACTCCTCAGCTACTACGGTGATGATACTGACAGTGAGATGTTTGTTACAGTTGACTGCCTTGGTGACTGCACTGATGGCCAAGCTGTGGTGTCAGAAGCCTGACCCAGTGTTTTTGCTGATCCTGAGCACTGTAGGACCACTGGTGTCGTTTGAGGGACTCCTCAGTTACTACGGTGATGAGATCGATATGTGGGGGGACATGGTTGTGGCTGTGGAGGATCTACAGACTGTCTCCTTCACCATCACACGCTGTCCGCCCAACACTAGGTAATGGTTACAGTGAAACGTCAATCTTTAGGGCTGTAATCAATTCCTAGTTAAAAGTAGAAAGGGTCCTAAGGCCATGTGTTTTAAAGGCCAAGAACATTACTAGCCGCTATAAGTATCAATTGCCATATATTAATTAAAAGTATAGAAGTATATAAATAAGAATATTTATTTTTATATTTTAATGGAAAGGCTAAATTTTATATTTCAATTGGCTTGTTAGGTATTTTTTGTAAAGAAACTGAGTTTAACTAGCTTACCTGAAAAATTAGTGGTCAGGGTGTAATAGTCGCAAAGATCACAAATCACAACGCTGAGGAGTAGTTTGAAGAGCGTCTTGACTCTAATTTTCTCAGGTTAGCTAGCTGAACTATTCATTTAAAAAAAAACAAAAAAAACCAACATTTACTTTAGTGTCCCACTAGGGCCAGGAGAACAGTTGAAGCCTGCATGGCAATAAACAGGTTTCCACTGTTTTAAGTGATGCTAATAACTTAAAACCTATCTCCCATAAGACCTTTACTTTACGTCGAACATGGAATTGGAGTATAATTGGGGTTTAGATAGTGAGATTTTTGGTGAATCAAACACAAAAATGCATTGATTTGTTACCTAAGAAATATGTCCAGGTATAAAAAGTAGACAAATGTATGAGAATTGCAAGAACTTTATTTTCCTGTAAATTGTAATTTAAGCAAAAAAGATCCCTTGAACAGTGAGAGTTGGTGTTGCTCAGTGAGGAATAACAGTTTCTTAAATTCAAGAAAGTAAAATAAGTGTTAAATACTAGAAAATATTTCCTTTAAAAATACTAACCTCAAAAAGATTTTCCTCTTTAAAATTTACTAAGAACAGTTTGGTATTAGCATTACAACCGTATTGTTCCACCCAGGCAAGATCAGGTGGTGCCCAAGGTAGCCAAGTCTGGATCGTCGCTGAGTGTGATGCTTCCGGTACCAGACTCTGTACATTCTCTCCTTCCCCTCTCCTCTCCCCCCACCACTTCTGTTACTTTCCACGTCACCCCGGTGTTCTTCAACATTGGCATCAACGAGATGGCCACCCTTGCGGAGAGTCTAGGGGCGACCAAGCCGCAAGAGAGAAGCAACGTGGACAACTTCGACAGACTCAATCAGTACTACCATCGGTTTAGGAAGCTCAACGTGCCTAGTGACAAAAGAGGTTAGTTTTTGTTACATTTGTGTTGCTAGTTCGTTTTACCATATTTAATGGTTAGGTTAAATTTGGTAAGAAGTTAAGGTATACGTTTGGACGACTCAAAAAAAGCTTTACTTACTATGAGTGGACTGACTGTTTGTTTCAGTGACCTGAAACTGGTATTTACTTATGTAAATGGACAAAATTTACTTTCTGTAAAAAATAACATTGTTTATTTTATAACTGGCTATATTAGTTAGTCAAAGTTCACTGACAAAAAGTTAGTGTTAAGGGTTCAATGTCAGTCGCTACCCAGGTTGAGTACGGTATACCGCAGGGCTCGGTCCTGGGCCCATTCCTATTTTTGGTTATGGTTAACGACTTGCCTGATAATGTCTCTGCTAGTACTGTCATGTTTGCTGATGATGCGACCTTTTTTAGAAGCGAGAAAAATGTTAATGACCTTTGTTGCACCATGAATGAAGTAGTTCTTAAAGAGGCAGCTGAATGGTATGCAGCTAACAAATTTCTCCTTAACTTGAATAAGACACAGAATATAACTTTCTCTCTAGACGTAAGAGCACCGAAAGAGGCAGATGATGACAGTAGCGTTAAACTTTTAGGTGTCCATCTTGATCCTAAGTTAGTTTGGGATACTCATGTTACTAAGGTTTGTTCAAAGCTGTCCAAAGTTGTTCACATGTTGCGTCGCCTTAGATTTAGCCTACCTAGTCATTACTTAAGATCTTGTTATTTTGCTTTTTTTCATAGTGTTTTGCTCTATGCTATTTTGTACTGGGGCAATAGTTCAAAAATAAGTGAAGTTTTAGTGATCCAGAAAAAGGCTGTGAGGATTTTATTTAATGTAGACCCTGATGAGCACTGTAGGCCCTTGTTCAAACAAGCCAAGATTTTAACTGTGATAAATGTATATATTTTTGTGTGTTTATGTTATGTTAAGAAGAATTTAGATAACCTCACTTTGTCAAACCAAATCCACAACCATTTCACAAGATCTAGTCATCATATTTATAGGCAACATTGTAGGTTAAGTAAAACCCTCAAGTCTTTCAATGTTCTTAGTATTAATTTGTTTAACAAACTGCCTCATAGCGCAAAAGAAGTTAGTAATAGTAAATTTGAGAGAGTTTTGTCAGATTGGTTAGTGGAAAACCCCATGTATAGTGTTAACGAGTTCTTGAAAATGACTTTCAACGATTCAATGTTACCATTCTGTGTTAAGGTCTAGGCCTATACATCTGTTTATTTTTAAGTAGGCTAAGATATTGTAAAAATGTGACTTTGCCCATTGCATGTACATGTTTAACGGCAATAAACGATTCTTATTCTTATTCTTATTAGTAGTTTTTTAGCTTTTATTTAATGAAATTAGTGCCACGCGTGCAGGTGACCATGATGATTTTCCCATAATCGCGGGAGATGTTCGCGATTTTGCCACAGTGGGTGATGTTAAAAATGTCCCCTGATAGTGCGAGATGCGATTGCGGGGAAGTGAATTAATGGGCAGGTGCTGTTCTGGTTATTTTGGCGTAAGGCTGCAAGTATCCTAAAAAATCCCCCACTTCATTGCAGCTAGTGATGTAAAATACCCGGGTATTTAAAACTCGGGGTAAATACCCTGGGTATTTACCCGGGTAAGTACCCAAAATCCATAAATACCCGGGTATTTTGGGTATTTATTAAATCGATTGAAATTCATTTATATTTACCCCTTAATATGTTATTGTTATCATTACATGATTAATAAAGGATAGTCTATAACACCTTTTACTTCAAGCTTTGCTAGTAGGCTTCCTTTTATTTAATGATTTAGCACTTTTTTTTATTATAAATAAGCATGGGGTTTCGTGTCTTAAATCGAGTAACATCAGTTATATTTAACTTACTAAAAAATAGTAGCCTATATTAAAAAAGGCTGTAGCTATTTCAATTTTTATCATTTTATAAATTTATAACCAATTAAATAACATAAACAAAATTATTTTGATTTATAAATATCCAGGAATTGTTGAAAGATTTATTGTGCTATAGATTCAAATGTTTTGTACCACAAGTTTATGAAATTAGTTTTTTTATTTTGATACCATTAATACCAACAAAAGATCTAGAACAAAAATATTATTAAATCCTGCCATCCTACAGATTGAATTTTAATTATTTTCTTAAGTTGTTTACACATAGGCCACTACTAGGTTACATTTTCCTGTCTTTCTAAATAATTATTATTACTTTACAATTTATTTTTCTTCACTTCCAATAAAATAAATTCATCTATCTAGCATAGAAATTAAAAAATCACAAGTAGTCAGGACCAGTGCAACCATGGGACCAGGGTATTTATGCCGATTATGCTTTATGCTCAGACCTGGGTATTTATGGCGATTATACCGAGAAGTAAAATGCTAGTAGTGACCATATGAAATTTTGTTCAACACATTTTATCATCATTTTACTATCCTTTCAGGGTAATAATTGCAAAAAAACATCTCAATCTTCTCTAACTTTAATAAAAATTATAAATACCCAGTTTTTGGGTATTTACCCAGGCCTGGGGTAAATACCCAATTTATATTTACCTACCCACTGCGTATTTACCCGGCCCACATCACTAATTGCAGCACTAATCAGAACACTGATTACAACACAAATAGTTCACATTTTCCACTTGTGTTCAGGAAGGATACATGTAAGAAATGAGTTTTATAACAAGGTTAAGAAGTTAAAAAGTAACGATTCAATTTTGAACTTTGCTTCAAAGAAAGCTAGTAAATGTGTGTATGTTTGTAGGGATGGTGCTCAGTGGTCCTCGGTACAGCTTGGAACACCTCGTGGAACAACTTAAGTCCTCCGTGTTGGTCTCCAGGAGCAAGAATGTGGAGATCCTGCATCTCTCCTCCAGGATATGTCGCAGGATGAAAGGTATGTCTGGAGACTTCTGTAGTGTTGTGTCTGTGGCCATTGGTGGAACTAGATGTTTTATTTCCATGTATTAGTCCAGGGTTCCTACGGACCTGGAAAGTCAGGGAAGGCCAGGGAAACAGGTATAGGGTCAGAGAAGGTCAGGGAAAGTTTTTAAATAAGGCTGCAAGTCAGAGAAAAACTTTTAAAAAAATGTTAGCCTAAGTCAGGGAAGTTTACTATAAACTTCTATAGATCGTGTTAAATTTTTGGATGATTAAACTTAGTTATATTGAGGTGAGATAGTCAAGTCGCTGAAAAGATTACCAAGTTCTGAAAAATTTGTATGTAATTTTTATTACCATTTTTGTTGTTTTATTTAGAGCTGTAAGTATTTAGAATTTGATTTCTTATTTGGTGTTTTATTAATAAATATCCCCGCCACAGCAACCCTCAGATTAAGCAAATTTCCATTTGCCTGGCTGGATTTCTAAAATATTCATTTAAAATTATTTCCTATTCAAATAAGATTAATTTAGATTTATCATGCTATCTAAAAAAAACTCAACGTTAGATCGTAACAAGACCAGGATTTGGACCGTTCCCTTACAAAAAATGTTAAAAAATTATCATGGTATGGATATACAGAAATAAAATGCAGAACTAGTTGGAGCAAACTTTTTTTGAGAGAAGGCAACCAATTATAATTGTTAGCTTAGGTTGTGAGTTTAAACATCTTAATCCCCTCCCCCTCAAAGTCTCTAAAAATAAACTGAAATTTATTTTAGATCGTAACAAGACCAGGATTTAGACCGTTCCCTTACAAAAAATGTTAAAAAATTATCATGGCATGGATATACAGAAATAAAATGCAGAACTAGTTGGAGCAAACTTTTTTTGAGAGAAGGCAACCAATTTTAATTGTTAGCTTAGGTTGTGAGTTTAAACATCTTAATCCCCTCCCCCTCAAAGTCTCTAAAATAAACTGAAATTCATTTTGATCAACTGGTAGAGAATGTAAGTTTGTTGAGTATGGTAAGTTTGTGTGCTCTGCAATGTGTGTCTGTTATCTAGACATATCTGTATGCTATATGTTGTTGCAGGACTGAGATTCACAAGCTGTAAGAGTGCCAAGGATCGGACTGGTATGTCTGTGACATTGGAGCAATGCAACATTCTACGCTCAGAGTACGATCTAGCAGAGCATGAGTTCTTAAGAGCACTGGACTGCATGAGGAGGTGGGTTAGATTCTGCATTAATATCACTAAGAAATGTGTTTCATACACTTCCTGAACTGACAGTAACACAAAAATTACTCCTACCATAGAACACTTCTTAATCGGCCACCACGAGACCGAGCCCCTGAACAGATAAACCGGATAAACCAACCAATTATAAAAACGATAATTTGTACACTAATTACATTTGGAGTTTTTTTTAGGTAACTTCACATACAGTATCATTGAAATTAGAAAATTTATTTATTTTAAAAATAATAGGTAACTGACATTAAAATCTCTCAACATTTTCTAAATGCATTATAGGACCTCTAATTTATTGTATTTTTGAGGGGAAAACCCTTGAAATATTGATGCAACCACTTTTGGTCCTCCTGATATGGACATAGCTTCTTATAAAGCCAGACATGATTCGATATTCACTCTAGTCTTTGTGTAATTGTTGCAGCGAGGGCTGTCGTAGGGAGAACACCTACAAGAACGTAGGAGTGCGCAAGTACGCCTTCAACAGTCTGCAGATCCTGACGTTGCCGAGGCTGTATCGTCCACCCGCTGGCACCTTCGGCTCGGCCCAGTCGTAGTCCCCTCCAGGTCTGCGTCCTCGACACTGTCTCGTAGCTGGCTAGTCCACCAGGCACAAGTAAGGGAGAGAGAATGTATAAAAAAAACATAAAACTGCTGAAATTCATGAAAAAGGATGGGAAAGGAATGGTGGGCCTACAAAAAGGAGACATCAGATCTGCAAACTGGTAGAATTTTTGTCTGGTGATGGACCAATAAAGAAACATCTTGGGACTATAGCGACTGATCAATACAGATTTTCTACAATGAAGGTAGAAAGGAACCAACACTTGTGGCTGAGTTATTTAGTCCTATCCTAGAAAAGGTTTAAATTCATTTCAAAAAGCTACTATGAGACCAAATGAAACATGAAAGTTGTGTGTTCAACAGCTGTAAGGAAGTCTGATGGAATAATATATAAGTCGATGGGTGCTGTAAAAGGTATAAAGGTTGAAGTAGCAAGGAGTAGCTGTATACAATCACCCCACCACAAACGCAAAGGAAACGTAATAATCACTGAAAAGTTGAGGTAGACATTCTTCATGTGAAAAGTTCACTTTTAAAATACAGTAGACTCAATATTATTTACGATAATGAGTGGTTGAGTGATTGTGGATAATCAAAATTGTGGATAATGCAAACCTAATCTAATATGCCTTAAAAATCTTAAAATTTAATGTGGTTAGTCCACTCGTGGATTTTAGGAAGTATACTGTAATTTATTTATGCCATTTTTTAAGGTTCTACTGTGTTTTCACCGTACAAGATTGCGAAAGTAGATTAAAACGTAATAAATGTTTTAGGTCTTTGGATGGAAGCACCTCTAAGTTGACACGCACCGACATCGGTGCAAGACTGATCCTGTTTTCATCTCAACTTACTTCAGGCATCACACTGAATACTCATGTTCTCCACTGAATATTCAATATTCAATATTGGTAAATTGCTTTGTGTAGTCAATACCAAAAAAACTGGGATATTCAATGTACAAGAGATGGAATTCTTCACTATGAATTTTATCCGTTGTTTAGTTTCATACTCTTATGATATTTTATTCTCTTACGAGTATTGCTATACTCAATTCCACGTTTAATGTGCAGTACAGAGCGAGAAAGCAGATAGTCATTGGAAACATCATCCTTGTCGTCATGCAAGTTGTGTCAGCGTCCACACGATCCTCAAAGGCTTAAGGTAGATTTTACCTCTTTCTTCAACTTAATGGTTTTTGATGGATCATATTTTGACTTAATGACTTGGATTTTGACTTAGTTTTTGCCGAAATCAGTTGTGAAAATTTGTAAGTAAAAAAGTAATAAGCAAAGAAGCGTTTTTAGTTCTCATGGTTTTAGGACGAATAGTATCGTTGAGGCTGCCATTTCGAGTTCATGGGCCTTGGACGCTCTGTATTAGCTGAACATGGAATGAATGCATATTTTCAACACTCTCTTAAGAAATGCAATTATTAAAATATGTCAGGGGGGCCATTTTGTTACTTAAACAAAAACATGTTATTGTGTTGTTTAAGCATAGTGGGATCACAACATTTACAATTAGAAAAACGTTTCTTTCTATGTATAAAACTGTTGTTTGTTGTAGTATTGCTTGATTTTTTTTATTAAGTCACACGGAAAATTTTCTTCTCTTTTTCAAATAAGTACCTTTGATTTGAAAGGAATTTGACTGAGTTTTTAGTCAAAAACAGGTAAATAAAATTTGAATTCAAAAAGTTAAGGATGTAGTAAAGAAACACGCTAAAAGCCAAAGGTATTTGTAAACCTAGAACTGGAGGCCCGACAAACTCTTAAACAAAACAATTAATTATTATATAAAACCCTGATGTTTATGTACCTGATGAGTTTATAACAATTCTGCTTTATAAAAACTATGAAACATACATCTTCTAGTTATTTATGGTTTTGTAAACATCAAAGATGGTGTAATATTTATTTTTTAGCTTTGTTTGCCTTTTATTAGAGGTCTTCAAGTGATGATTGCTTCATATTTTGCAATTAAGCATGTGCAATCAAGTCTTTGTGTTAATTTATCTTATTTATTATTTCTTTATTTAATTGTTAAATGCCTTTATTTAGGAACAGATTTATTACGTTTTTCTAAGTCATATAGAATTTGTGTTAATTACTTGAACTGCTCACTTAAAAATAGTTCTTCACTTACTTAAAATACATTTCCTACTTACAGTAAAAATAGTTACAAATTATTTTTATGGAGAGATTTATGAGAGGAAATAGAGATTTAGCCTACCTAGCGCTCAGTATTCTAGCTATAAGCCATGCAAAGTTTGTAAAATTGTAATGTTGTAAGTTGATAATCCTAAACAATTTCCATTCATAATCACGTTAATTAATAATAAGGAAAATATCTTTCCTAGCAATGCACAACCTTAATTTTTAATTTCTATACATGTTGTATGCTAAGATATTTGTAGTTTAAGGTTAGAGGAAGTCAATTTATTTGCAGATTTGCATATTAAACTTATTTCTAAAAATTAGTTGGTTAAACTGGACTTATGAGGGATAATTTATATTTTATTGGTCAATTAAAAAGTATAAAGTTGTTTTTCCAGTACAATTTATATTGTAAGACTAACAAACTTAAGATAAAAATGTAATATTTTTTTGGGCAATAGCTTTTATACATAATTTTTCATAGCAATATTATTTATGTTAATTTAAAAAAATGCTTCATACAGATGAAATAATACCCCCGCCGCAGCAAACCTGCAGACTAAGCGAATTTCCATTTGACTGATTGGATTTACACTGAAATGTCTACTTAAAAATATAACATTTATTCTTGATTTAAATAGAATTAGTTTAACAAGTAACCTGAGATTTGCATCAGGGAGGGTAAAACTGTTTTTTTTTTTTTTTTTGTAAAATGTGAATAGTTAGTAAGAAATAAAAACATTTTCCAAATTTGATCAAAATATGTTCACAAACAAGCAAACTACAACAGTTTACTTATTCTCCATAAGAATAACATGGGAATTTTAAATTTACAATTTTTTGGAATTTTCTCCGTAACCATTAGGCGCATAACAACGCTTCAATATACTAATTTATTTGTTTTTTTAAGCTCTACAAAATGGTTTGGAAAGAAATTGCTAAATTTTATGTTTTTTGGGTCAAAAATGGGAAAAACCTATTTTTACCCCATAAACCCCCTGTAAACCCCTGTTCCCATGGTCCGATCATGCTGGATCGCGAACTCGTTCGAATAAACGTACGTTTACACGTTTGTACCAAATTTCATCAAAATCGGATCATTTTTGCTCGAGTTATCGTGCTGACGGACACATATATATATATATATGAAAAATAGAAAAATAGGGCTACTATATATAAATAAAGATTAAACATTAATAAACTTAGTACCCAAGTAAAATTATATATATATATTTATAAATATATATATGAATTTGAACGGATGGTGTTTTTGGCCTCTAGGGACCTCAAAACGAAAAAAAAATCGGTCCCGCGTCCAGGTCTTACCATGAGTACTACGGTAATAGCTTATTCCCTATATGGGAAATTCGCTAAAAATGTGTAAATTTTCAAGACACAACTTCTAAACTTCTAAACTGAACTGATTAGACAAAAAGTACCCGAAATATGCTACCTCAAAAGAGGATTTTTCAAACGATATTGTTGGATATGGAACATAATCATGAAATATTTCTGGGGTCGGTAAACTCATTTTTATTGATTTTTCCCTACAATATGCACGTGTGTAAAACAACATAAATAATCTGAAACTCAACGTTCAGTGGAAATTAAGACTAAATTTAATCATGCATGTAAATGTAGTTAGTTTGGGCCAAACTACTATACGTTTGACAACTCATAACAAAAAAAAACTTAATCATAATTTTTCAGTTTCCAATTATTGACTAATTATTTACATTTAAGCTTAGATTAAACTATTTATTGATGTATCTAAATATTTCTACAGTGATAGTGTTTGGATATATTGTGTGATTAAATATTTATTGTGCCAAACTGATGACTACTATAAGAAATGTATGTACTAATACCTGATCATTGTTAATGTATTAGATGTGACAAAATTCTTATACCTTGTCAATTATAGCCAACTATTTCCATTTTGCTGTAGGAAATAACAGAAATTGATTAAACAATATTGGTCAGATAGACAATTTTACCAGTTTTAAATTGAATTTACCAATTAAGAAGAAATGTGTTGTGAAAAGGTTGTGTTTTATTGAATTAGAATTTTTATTGTTATTCTTTTTTATGTAAATGACATTTTAAGCCATTGGAGGTTTTATTTGGTTGTTTTTCAATACTATCCAGTTATTTAATAGTATTTTATTACTTTGCATAATATTATTTATTTTTGTCATACTACAGCAAAATCAGCTGTTTTTAATACATGCGTTGCAGGTTTAAAGTAGCTCTTTTTCCTTAGGGAGTTAAAGTCACCTGTTGTTAACTCGGTTGTAAACTTCGAAGCAATTGCAAAAGTTTGTATCAATTGTTTTAATCGGTTGTAGCTTGTTATCGGTACATCAATGGTTGATACCAATGTTACCATCGATGGTTGACCTATTGATGCTCATCAGAAGTAAAAACATAAAGTCAATACAGGTGCACTCAAACTTAACAAAACATGTAACAGACACGTAAACATGCTTTCTTGTAGTTCTTATCCTAACGTAATGTAAAAATCTGTAGCCTATGTCAAATGGCTGTATTTCTAAAATATTGCATAATATTTATCTTTATTTGGTTTTAAATGGACAATCATTACATTCAAACTAAACAGACCGTCACATCATTGTTTAAAATTATTTCTCGCATCTCATATTTTGCATTTACCCGTTTTTAACTATTTTAACCACCAATAATTTTAACATGCTCCTGCTGATCCATTGTCATTTTTACACAACCTTAAAATTTCTATTTAACTCTATTGTCCTAATTATAAGTTTGTAATATTATAAGAAATTTAGGTGCTTACACAAATTATAGAAGTTGTAGCATTACCACTGGTAGATAACGCACTAGCTTTAAGTTTTTGTTGTAATATTTTGGGAAATTATAACTTATTCATTTTGAATGTAACTCAAATACGCTTATATTCGTACAGTATACTTAGAAATGGTACTTAACGATTGTTTTGCATTTATATTATTTTAATTTAAGTTTATTTATTGTTAGTTAGGGGTCTTGTTCACAAACTACAGTGCTGTTTATTTAGTGATTCTTATGTTAGTACGTTACTTTGTATCCGAATTGTAGTTTTGGTTTTTAAAGCAGGTGATGAAAATGGTGATACAATCTCTTAAATGAGTTGAGTTTGTAGGATTGAAATTACTGTAAAATATTGGCACCTATATATTTGAAAGTATTTACATACTTTGCTATTCTTTTCAAGACTTGTTTTATAAGAGTTTATCTTTGTAAACTACCAATCAAAGAGTTGGTTTGTCATTTTATTTTTATTTTAGCGAATTTCCCATATAGGGAATAAGCTATTACCGTAGTACTCATGGTAAGACCTGGACGCGGGACCGATTTTTTTTTCGTTTTGAGGTCCCTAGAGGCCAAAAACACCATCCGTTCAAATTCATATATATATATATATATATTTATATATTTATATATATATATATGTGTCCGTCAGCACGATAACTCGAGCAAAAATGATCCGATTTGGATGAAATTTGGTACAAACGTGTAAACGTACGTTTATTCGTACGAGTTCGCGATCCAGCATGATCGGACCATGGGAACGGGGGTTTACGGGGGGTTTTATGGGGTAAAAATAGGTTTTTCCTATTTTTGACCCAAAAAACAAAAAATTTAGCAATTTCTTTCCAAACCATTTTGTAGAGCTTAAAAAAACAAATAATTTAGTATATTGAAGCGTTATTATGCGCCTAATAGTTACGGAGAAAATTCCAAAAAATTGTAAATTTAAAATTCCCATGTTATTCTTATGGAGAATAAGTAAACTGTTGTAGTTTGCTTGTTTGTGAACATATTTTGATCAAATTTGGAAAATGTTTTTATTTCTCACTACCTATTCACATTTTACAAAAAAAAAAGTTTTACCCTCCCTGATGCAGCAAACCTAAGTACTTAAACTAATTCTATTTAAATCAAGAATAAATGTTATATTTTTAAGTAGACATTTCAGTGTAAATCCAATCAGTCAAATGGAAATTCGCTTAGTCTGCAGGTTTGCTGCGGCGGGGGTATTTTACCTGTATTTTGTGAACAAGTTAAAGTCGTGTGTGGTCAAAAACAAGTTTGTGATTTGTACAACATTTGAATGTTTAGAATGTATAATGTATTCCATCTTTGTTATTTCTGTTATTTTGTTGTTTACTGTCTTAATATTTTAGAGCTTTAATTACATAGATATTTCAATATAAAT